AATTATAAAATAATGGAATTAAAAAAAAAAAAAAAAAAAAAAAAAAAAATTCTATTATTTTTTTTTTTTTTACTATTACTTTCCCAAAAAACTATAAAATTATAAAAAATATTTGTTTTATTTTTCTGGTATATGAGCTAACTATTTGTCCCACATAAAACAATATAGAGAACATCTGGACACATATTAACTGTAATAGAACGCCATCTTGATGTTAGTTTGTAAATTATTATGTGTACACATGGCGAATCATTCCTCAACCGAATTTTTTTTTTTTTTATTTCAATTTTTGAATTTTTTTTTTTATTTTTTTTTATTTTTTATTTCATGAAGGATATTCTCCAAAAAAAAGTCAAAAAGTCTAAATTTTAATTAAAGTTATCCCAAATTTTTTTTTGCTTTAAAAATTTTAAAATATATCGCCATGTGTCGATCAATAATAAAATACAAAAATAAACATAACACACATCATTTTTTTCTATCGCAATAAAATAAAATAAAATTAAAAGTAATGGGAAAAAATAATTTCTTTTTTTTGAAATTCTTTTTCACTCAATTCGAAATTGAACACCTTTTTTACAAATTTTTTATTATTTTCGTATTTTAATATTTTTATTTTCAATCAGGAAAAATAAAAAGATTGTTCTGGTATTATTTTATTAATGCGTAATATGATCATTTTTAAAAAATAATTGAATAAAAACATGTTTATGAATTTCCAAACGAGAACAAAATTGGTAAAAGATATTTTTTAGTTTGTAGTTATGGGATGTCATTTTGGGATTAATTTTTAGGTTTTTTTTTAATAATAAAAATAAATATTTGCTTTAATATAAAAACTATATTTTTTATTTGTAATTAACTCGTTTTTTTAATTTTTGAAAAATTAAAAGAAAAAGAAAAAAAAAATATATAAATAAAAATCTTTTCTTTCTCCTATTTTTTTGTTTTTTTATGATTTTTTTTGTTTTTATAAATTTTTTTTTTTGATTTTTTTTATATTTTTTTTTGAATACCAACCATATCAAAAATGAAAGTTTTGTATCTTTTAGTAATTACATCATTAATCAAAATTGTATCATCAACACTTTGGGTTAATTTCATTCCATATGATCCATTATCACAATGCAAAAGTGAAATATATGGTTTGGGTTACTCCTTTGCAGTAGGAGAGGTAGGTAATATAGGTGTAATAATTAAATATAATATAATTAAAAAAAGTACTAATCGGTTTTTCTTTTATTTTTATTTTTTTTAGTGTTTTACATTAGATTGTAAGATTTATACATAACCACTAAATAATAATTTAAATTAAAGTATACTGGGAATAATAATAATAATATTAAATTATTTTTTTAATATAAATATACACAGATGTAAATTATTGGTATTTTGAAGCATTTGAAGATTTAACAGTACAATGGGATAGTTTTATACCACCATTTGGTGGTGGTCCAGGAAGTTGTCAACAAGCAACACACCAAACACCAAGAATCGTTAAAGATGGCCAATGTCTTGATACTATTGAAGATAATTTCAATTTAAATTTAGTACCAGCAGGTAATCATTCATTCCAAGTTGTGGTTTCAAATACACCAGCTTATACAAAATTCGATTATGTAAATACCTTTGAATATGGTCCACACTGTTCAAAAAATTCAAATAATGCTTTATTTGCAACTTTTGCTTCTAATGGTACTTTAATTTTACCAAACCTTAATCCAAATAATCCAACCAATGATATAGAGCAAAGTATTTTTTGTATAGATAATAAACCAACTATGTATCATTGTGTTTTTGAAAAAAATAACCAATATAACTGCAGTTAGTATGTATTTTTTAATTTTTTAATTTTTTAATTTTTTAATTTTTTAAATTCACTAATATCCAAAATTATAAAGCGAAAGTACAGCAGCAGATTGTAGACAACAAAAACCATTTATTGCACCATCATCAACATCCCAAGATAGTTCAGCTGAAACTGACACAAATAGTTTCTATTCATCAACATCCTGTTTTGGTGGTCCACTTTAAATAAAATAAAATTATAAATTTTTTTCCTAATTTTATTTTATTTTAATTAGGAAAAAAATTTATTTAAATAAAAAAACATAAAATGATGGAGTGTAAATATAAAATACTTTATTTTTATACATTCGCTTGACCAATATCATTGTTATTGATGTCTAAGTTGGGGTTTATAAATTCCTCTGGTTGCATTAGTTTGTTATAGTATGGTGGTTTATATAAATTTTCATTATATTCTATAATTGAATAACTATTGTCATTAAATTCTAAAACTGGTAAAATATTATTACTATTGTTAAGTAGTGGTTGGCTTTCATTTATATTTACAACGTCATAGTTATTGTCATTGTCATTGTTATTTTCTTGATTTTGCTGTTGCTGTTGTTGGTTTATTATATTATTATATTGTTTAATCTGATAGGTATCCAAAAGACCATTCTTCGAAATTGAATAGAAATACCACTCTACATATCCCCAAAAGCAAATAGTTAGGATGAATGGTATAACAACTAAAATTCCATAATAAAATTGATAGATATTGAAAGTTCCAACCATTAAAAGGTGATAAATTAACAATCCCACCAGAGTACGTCTGAACGACATTGGCCATAGTTGTCCCCCGCTTTGATAGGCTGGAGTGTTTACAAATGCGATGTTATATTTACTAACAAGATAGTTTACACTGAAATACATAACTCCAAAGAGAAGAATGAACGGAGCCAAAGTTGAATAGGCTAGGCACACTTGAAGAATTAAAAGATTATAGGCATATGTTTTGCCGTATTTAAATGGTTCACTCTTATTTGCATCATCTATTTCTCTTTTTGTTTTTGCCAAGAATTTTAATTTGAATAGATTTATGATTAAATCTGAAAGACGAAGTAAATTCATTGTAAGACCGGTACCTGCTAATAAAACAAAATTAATCATTTGAAATGATAGACCACCTAAAGCGTTTGCAAGTGTAGATGTGATCGATGGAGGATTGTTGATGATTGCTTCTAAAGATTGAAAAATGGTGCCAGCAATTGCAGAAACTAAGAAAACATTAAAAACCAAGAATAAATAGTACTTTGAAAATATTGATTGCTCTATCCTGCTTTTAGATATATAACCACTAAGAATACTTAGTAGTTTGATAATAGGTATTAATAGAGCCATAAATAAAATTAAAGCCAAATTGGGAAGATAACCTTGAAGAAAACCAACAAGCAATGGGGATTTTTCTATTAAACTAACCAACCAAGAGAACACTTTAATTTTTGATAGTGTACCCAAATTACTAAAACCAGAAATGAATGTTACCGGAATGGTCCAAAAGAAGATCAAAACAAAAGTTGCAATTATTACCATAAGTTGTCTAAAGTAATATGACTTCATACCAATGTGGATATTTCCCCAATAGATATCATTTGGGTCAGGTGCATAGAAATGTGAAAATAAAACATTAAGTTTCTTGTGCATTACAGTTTGTACCAATTGCTTTTGAATTGATTTCTGATTAAATACAATAAAACCTGTACCACCTGGTTGTTTTTCAGCTTTTTCTAAATTTCTATTTTTTTCTTCACTTTGATGTTGCTCATATTGAATTTCTGCTTTAGATCTTTCTTCCTCTATTTTGGAAGTAAGTTTTTCATATTTTGCTTTGTAGTAGTCAATAGAGTCAACTCTTTTCCCACACAAACCAAATGGCCCCGATTTTCTTGTAGGTCTAACTCTTTTTCTGTTATATTCTTCAATGGCGGCTTCATAATGCTTTATATAAAATTCTCTTTCGTCCACATAGGGATAAATATGTGGTGCTGGGTATTGTAAACATACATCTTTAACATCATCCGGATTTGATAGATACTGCTTGAAATATATGGCAACATCGTCTTTATTGAACATACTCATTGGGATATCCCTGAGGATCATGGTATAGTTTGATAAACGTTCTTCTTTTTTATAGTAAACTCTATATTTACAATAGGCCTTGTACTCTTTGAAGGAAAATACCCATACCACCAAGGTGACAATAAAAGTAAACATTACATGAACCCACAATAAATTTGAACCTCTTTCGATATTACTCATTGATATAATTGTTAAACCTATAACCTTGTCTGGTAATTTTCCGTTTTCATCTGGTTGTCTGTGAGAATTATATTGTCCTTTTGAATTTGTTGAGTACAATACCACAGAACTTAACACAAGTAATGTTGACAATATATATAAATTTGATTTTACGTTTTTTAAGTACATATATCCATCCTAAACAAAGCATTAAATTAGTTATTTTGTTATTTTTTATTAATTTTTAATTGTTAACTCTTACCAATCCTGAAGTATCTATTATTTTTTTATTATCATAGTTCAGCGTTTCAAATATCCACCCAAACCACCCACTATCTGAAATATTAGTGACCCCTTTTTGATGTTTCTCGTATCTGTAGTTGAAAAATAATGGGAATCTTGATCTTAAAAAACAAAACAATAATAATGTTCCTAGCATTGTCGCAAAATTTATAATAAAAGTAACAAAGAAAGCATTGTCTTGTATTTCATAACGATTTAGATTGTCATTGTATAAAGTTGTATTACTTTGTTCCATTTTATTATTAATTCATTATTAATATTGATTTTGTTATTATTTTAATTAATATTATATTTATAATTATTGTATTATTTATAATTATTTGCACTATTTATTATTAAAACTAAACTTTTTATTTTATATAAAAATGATTTATAAAATGAAAAAATTTTTAAATAAAATGAATAATAATATTAAAATTATTTTATAATAAATTAATAAAAATTATTGTAAAAATTAAATTTAAAAAAAAATTAAAAAAAAAAAAGGAAAAAAAAAAGTGTGTTAAAAAAATAATAATATTTATTAAAATAATTATAATATCTATTCCTTTTTTGTGTAGTTCCCCACATTCACAATCTACATTTATTAATATGACTTTTGATAAATACACAATATCTATAAAAATGATATTGGAAATAATAATTATAATGAGTTTTTTTTTTTAAAAATTTATTTTTAGATTTTATTATTTAGAAAAAAAAAGATATAGTCATTATAATACATTATAACTATTTTTCTTTGTTTGATATGCACTATTATCTAAACCTTCACTACTTATACTTGAATCCTATATATATATATTAATAATATTGGTTAATTATATTGTATTTATGATTTGGATTTACAAAGTTAAAGTTTTTATAAAGTTAAAGTTTTTATAAAGTTAAAATAGATAAGATGAAAAGAGTAAAATAGAAAAGAGTATTTTATATTTGAGTTGTTATATTATTATTATTATTACTGGTTATTGTTATAGTTTATAGAAAGATATGAATATTAATATTATTATTATTATTATTTTTTTTTTTTTTTAAAAAGAGTATATATTTAATTTGATTTATACACTTGCGCTTCCAAGAGGAAATTCAGAACCAAAAGAAACATTTGGTTCCATTAATTTGCCTGGATAGTATGGTGGTTTGTACATATTTTGGTTGTACTCAAAGATTGAATGAGAGCCATCATTAAATGTTTCTTGCATATGTGGTTGAATTGGTTCAGCAGCTTGTGATGATGATGAAATTGATTGTTCCATTTCTATTTCTTGAGCTTGTAATTGTTGCATATGCTTTTGATATGGATCTAAAATACCGTTCTTTGAAATGTTACAGAATATTCTTTCACAGACGTACCAAAAGATGATTGTGACGACCAATGGGATAACTACAAGAATACCATAGTAGAATTTGTAAACGTTGAATGTACCAATCATCAAAATGTGGTAAATGAGTAAACCTACAAGTGTTCTTCTAAAGCTCATTGGATAGAACATACCGCCACTTTGATAATTTGGAGTGTTTACCCAGATAATGTTGTATTTGCAAACTAAATATGTAACACCGAAATACCAAACGCCAAATATAACAATGAATGGACTTAATGTACAGTAAGCTAAACATAATTGAAGTATTAAGAGATTGGTAGCATAGGCAACACCATATGAAAATGGACCTTGATGGGTTATTTCATCGATTTGTCTTCTTGTTTTTGCTAACCATCTTAATTTTATGTTACGAATGATTAAACCAACGACACGAGCTAATCCACCCATTAAACCAGATGCAGCAAGGAGTACATAATTGATCATTTGGAATGATAAACCACCTAAAGCATTTGCAATGGTTGAAATGATGGAGCCTGGGTTATCTGCAATTTCTTTGATTGATTGGAAAACTGTACCAGCAATTGCAGAAACTAAGAATACATTGAATACTAAGAATAAAAAGTATTTTGAAAATACTGATGCTTCAATCTTACTATTGGCAAAGTAACCAGTGGCACGACTAATTGCATACATAATTGGAATTAAAAGTGCCATAAAGATGATTAAAATTAAATTTGGTAAGAAACCTTGTAAGAAACCAGTTAAAACATCAGACTTTTCGATGATATCGACCAACCAAGAGAATGCTGGAACTTTAGCGAGGGTACCTAAATTACTGAAACCTGAAAGGAATGCAACTGGGATCATCCAGAAGAAAATGAGGAAGAATGTGAAAACTGAAACCAAAAGGAGACGAATATAGTATTGTTTTAAACCAATGTGAATATTAGGCCAGAAGACGTCATTTGGATCTGGTGCATAGTAACGAGAAAATTGGGATTGGTATTTTTCGTGCATAATAGTTTGAACCATTTCTTTTTGAATTTGTCTTTGGTTGAATACAACAAAACCAGTGCCAGCAACTTTCTTACCAGCATTCTTTTCATAGTAGTCTGATTCTGCAGCTGCTCTTTCATCTTCGATTTTCTTTGTAAGGTCATCAATTTGGGTTTGGTAGTGATCAATGGCATCGACTTTTTCACCAAAGCATCCACATAAACCTAATTTAACTTGTGGTTTTTCTTGAGTCTTTCTATATTTTTCAATAGCAGCTTCATATTTCTTGATGAAGGTCTCTCTTTGGTTTACAAGCTTATAAATGTGTGGAGCTGGATATTGCAACGAAATATCTAATAAATCGGATTGATTGGCTAAATGGTTTCTAAAGTAGTGTGATAATTCATCTTTAGTAAACATTTGAATTGGAATATCACGAAGTAAAATGGAATAGTTTGAAAGACGGCTTTGTTGTCTATATACAATTCTATTTTTACTATAGTCTCTGTAGTCACGATAGGTAAAGAACAATACTGTAAATGTTACAAATAATACGAATACTAAATGGACCCATAATAAACTTGAACCTCTTTCGATATTGCCCATCGAAATTCTTGATAAACCTACAACTGGATCTGGATAATTACCATCTTCATCTTTTTCTCTATGGTCATTATATTTACCAACTGCATTGGTTGGATATAACATAACAGCACCTAATACCATAATTACCAACATTATTAAAAAATTTGTTTTAACATTTCTGAGATACATATAACCTAAAAAAATAGAAAAAATTAAAAAGAAATAAGTTAGTAATTTAGATAAATATTAAAAAAAAAAAAAATTAAATTTAACTTACCATCCTAAATTCAATTATTTAAGAAAAGTAATAAAATAAAATAAAAATTATTATTAGTCATATGTGCTATATATAAAAATTAAACAAAAAATAAAAATAGTTTCAAAAAAAATGATTTTTTTTTTTTTTTTTTTTTTTTGAACGTATTTTTTTTTTTTTTTTTTTTTTTTCTGATGCTATAGTTTACTTACCATACCAGCGGAATCTTTAATTCTATTTAAATCGTATCTTAATGTATCACCAACCCATGAGAAAAATCCATCAGATGGTGGTGCAACAATACCTTTGTGATTTTTTTCATATCTGTATTGATAAAATGATTTATACTTTCTTCTTAAAAAACAAAACAAAAAAAAGAAAATGATTGTGATTACACTGTTGATAACAAAAGTGACTACAAAGGCAGAGTCTTGTGCCTCGTACCTATTAGCCATTTTTAATTATATATTTTTAAAAAATTATTTATTATATATTTAATTTAATTATTATTATTATTAATTATTATTATATAATTATTAATAAATATTAATTTATTTGTAATGCTGTAGTTTTAAAATAAAAAATATAATTTTTAAAAAAAAAAAAAAAAGTGATAAATGAAATGAAATGAAAATTAAAAATAAAAATAAATAAATATTTTTTTTTTTTTTTTTAAATTATTTTATTATTTTAATAAAAATTATAAATTTATTATATATGTACAAAAATACTATTAAGAAAAAGATAAAACAAAAGTGATTTAATATATGTATTTGTTAATAATAATGTAATTATTATATTTCAAATTATTATACAATTATAATAAATAATATTTATTTAAAATAAAAAAACTTGAGTGTGCAATCATATTAAAAATAATTTAAAAATAATTTAATTTTAAAAAAAAAAAAAAAAAAAAAAAAAAAAGGTGCAATAGGTGTGTGGGTTTGTTTTTCTGACAAAATCTGTTATTTACAGAGAAAATTCCAATTTAGGAATTATTTTTTTTATTTTTTTTTTTATTTATTTTTTTTTTTATAATATTTTTTAATGTTTTCAGATAGTTTATTATTTTTTTAATTTTTTTTTTATTTTTTAATTTAATTTTTTTTAATTTTTTTTAATTTAATTTTTTTTATTTTTTATATTTATTTTATTATAAAGCGTGTTTGGGTAGTGCAGTGTAGCAGTAGTATAGTTAATGAACGAGCAGATTGTAATATGACGAGTTTGGTGTGTGGGACCAAACTCTTCTATTATGGTAATGATGATAAAGTTATTTTTATTAGTGGGTGTTGGTGTGAGTGTAGATTTTTTGACAAAAAACAAACACTCTTTAACACCCACACCACTTTAATTTATTTTTAAAAATTAATTTGCATGATTTTTTCAGTTTCTTTGGGTTAGTGTGAGTTTTTTAGTGTGGTATGGGTGAGTGTTTGTGGAGTTAATATATTAGTTTTAAATAAATACATATATACACACATTTATTAATTTAAATTCTTTTTCATTGAGATTTATGACAATGTTTCTCATTGGTTTTGATTATATTTTTAATATATAGATTCTATTCATATAAATGCATTAATGTAAACTATAATGATCTTATCACATCATCTATTCAATAGCATTAACAATAATTAATTTGAATTTTTTTTTAATTAAAACAGACAAACTTCATTATTTAATAAATAAAAAAGAAATAAATAATACATATATACACTTTTTTAATTAATCAAAAGATAAAAAGTTGGTTCTATTGAATGATGGATACAACAATAGTAGAGTATCAGTTAATTTTATTAAATATTTGATTTCTTTTTAATTAAATTCTATATCGATTAACCATTTACCTTTATAATACCAATATAATTTTTTATATCAATAATTTAACACGGGATCAAACCAATTATAAAAAATAATAATCAAATTAAATATAATAAATGAATATAAAAAAAATAAGTAATTTTTTCTTAGTTTTTTTACCGTAAATCATAAATCTGTAAAATAAAATTTTTTTTTACAGATTTTTTTTCGGTAAACTGCATTATTTTTTTCATTTGAAATTTTTTTTTTGAACATTCTTAAAAATGATAAAAATTTATTATTTTTTTTTATATCTTTATATTTTTTTAATATTTTCAAAATTCTCATTTGGTATTGATATCCCTCCAGATGAAAAAACATGTTATTTAAACTTTATTAATAAATTTAATTTAAAAGTTAATTATCAAGGTATTTATTGCAATTAATTAGAATTTTTATAAATATTTTATGCATTTAAAAGAAATAAATATTAATATTGGTTTTTTAAAATAAAATTATTTTTCCTTTTAAAAATAGACACAAGCGATGATACATTATGTGCAAGATCAAGTTGTCATGCAAATGGGTCAATTGATGGTTTTCAATCATCTGTACATTTAACAGATGCAATTATTAAAGTTGATGTGTTACCTACTGATGTTACTTGCTTCCCATTTATGACTACTCTCTCCATTAATATTTTAAAACCATCCAACGAATTCATTTCTTATGAATTCTTGGGAGTTACTTCAGTAAAATTGGATTGCCCAGAAATACAAGATTTAACTCAAAAATTACCACCTTATGAATATTTGTAAGTATTAACATTTATTTATAATATAATTTAATAATATTTATTAATTTTTATAAAAAATCTATAAATTAAATTTAATAACTTCCACAGTTATATAATCTCTGATGGAATAAAAAAATTAAAAATGTCATATGTAGAGAATGTCAAGAATTTTAAGTTTTCAAGTTTGTCAGCAAGTACTATTGTTGAGGTAGACAGTGGAGCAGAAAAAAAAAATTTAAAGGAGTTGACTTTATCCATGAGTAATTTCCCAGACTTTAGAGGTTATCAGTTCGATAGTGTTACATTTACTTTTAGCAGTGCATTGAATCCATCAGAAGTAATTACAAATTTCCAATATTTAAATGCTTCAAGTGCTCTATTATCATTTCCCTCAAACTATCTAGTTCCTTTTTATCTTCACTTAAACTCTTATATTAACTTTATGAATCACTATATGGGTAAGTTTCAAATACCAACCCAATTCTACGATATATCAAATCTTGTCAATTATCAATCTATCAAAATGGGTTTTGTTAGTGAGAATTTCCTTTATCAAAAGAACATTCCATTTAAAGTTAGTCCAACCACAAATCTTGCATTTTCATTAACTCCAACAAATTCATTAACAATTAAACCTCAACTACCTCCTATTACCGATGTTGGTTATTTAAAAACTGTTAAATATGAATATAGTTGCCTATCAGGAAATTTACCAGAATATACCGGACAAGGTTCAGCATACATTTATGATAATAACCGATTAACAGGTACTATACCTGAATCATGGTGCGGCACTGCTTTATCTGTTGCAAATAATCAATTAACAGGGTTTGTATTAACTGTTTTATTTTATGAATCACTGTATCATAATTTTAACAATTATTTTTGATTTATCATTTAAAATATTTTTAGTACCATTCCATCATGTTTTTCTTGTTATTTTAATAGTACTGTTTCAATGCCATTATCAATATCTCAACCAACCGATATCTCTTTTACAACTAAAATGTATGATAGGTTTGCTGGGAGTATTAATAAATTTACAAATTATGATAAGAATATTCCATGTACAACTTATAAACCACAAGTTAGATACCATAATCAAACAACTATTATAATTAGTGGTATTGATATTGGTCATCAACTTAACTATTATTATGTTAATACAGCTATTTTAGGTTATGGATTGTGCAAAAGTGTTCCACAAGCAATTATTAGATATGGTTATGAATATTATTGTAATCAGGCTTCTATCTTAAATGGTAAATCAATCATATTATACAATATGGGAAATAATATACATTATACTTTTGCATTAGTCAGTAACCCACCAACTTTTACATCAATTATTACAACTGAAAATAATAAAGTATATGCAATTGGCACATTCTTCTCAAGTTATTTAGGTCAATCAGAACAAACTATAACTATTGCAGGCACAGATTGTCAAGTTACTAACACCGGATTCACCAACTTTACTTGCATCACATCAGTTACATTATCATCAGAAAAACAACTAGTTGTAATAAAGAATGATAATCAAACTAAAAAAGTATTTGCAGTTTTCGAAAACAATAGACTCAATAATAAACAATGTCCAAATGATTGTGTAGGCTCACCATCAGGAGATATTTGCGATTTAAGCACTGGTACTTGTGTAGGTTGTCCAAACAATTGTAGTGACCATGGTACATGTAACGAAATAGAAGGTAAAGCTAATTTTAAAATAATTTATTTTTTTTAAATAATTTTAAATACTAAGTTTTATATTTAAAAATAGGCAAATGTATTTGTGAAGAAAACTATATACAATATGATTGCTCAGAATTATACATCGAATGTGAAGATCCAACATGTTCATCTCAAGGTCATTGTGATACATCAGATGGTATTTGTGATTGTAATAATGGATTCGGTGGCGATAAATGCGAATTCAGTCAACATTATATTACATCAGTTAACCCATCAAATGAAAATGGTGGTGAAGCAAGCTTCTATGGTAGTTTCGGTGAACAACACAACCAATTATCAATTATAATCGGATCAAAAACATGTCCAGTTACACACTCTTCAAATGATTTAATTAATTGCACAGCACCACCAGGTAAAGGTATTCACAGTCTCAATATCACTCAAAACAATATTGTTTATATTGGTAAAGATATTTACATTTATTCAAAAGTACCACAAAACATATTCGGATGTCCAAAGAACTGTTCATCACATGGTAAATGTAATACATCAAACGGTAAATGTGAATGTTATTTAGGATATACATCATTTGATTGTGGATCAATGCTCGGAGGAGGAAATAAAGATAATACAATCACAACAACTGAACCACCAACATCAAATGTAGATAACAGCACAGGTATTGTAGATTTTCAAAATGAGAGAATCAACTTTAAAATCTTCCTCAAATCATTAAATGAAATAGATATTAATAATAATATTGTCAATAGCTATTCATTAGTATCAGATTGGACAGTAAACAAAACACAATCAAACATTTATACATTCGAACAATCACCAAACCAAGACGAATTCAAAGTTATATCAACCATCGAACAAATTGAAAACGACAGATCAGTTTCATTTGCAGGTATCGACTTTTTACTCACCAATAACTCAATTAAATTCACAGTTTTAATTAAAAACTATAAATATCAATCATTCTTAAACACACTTCAACTCGAAATGGAATCAAACACAACCGAATTAACCAAAGATGATTGCAACAGTAAAGAAACTCAATTAGACACTGAAAATCTCAAAAATCAATATGATCTCAGTTATATCAAACTTTCAAAGAATAATGTCGATTTTGTAGGTAGATTCATCAACAAAGTAGTATCAGACTCGAAACCAACATTTTTAACAACATCATACACCAAACTCAACGATTCAGTAACTATCACATTACACTTACCACATTGTGTCAATGAATGTTTAATCGATCCAGGTAATATATTAAATTAATTGAAGTTGTTTTTATTATTACTATTATATTAAAAGTTTTTATTTTTTATTCAGATTTCTCTGCATTATTATCATCAGATTTCTCAGAGTGCAAATCACCAAAACAAAATATCAAATGGAAGATAGTAGTTGGTGTTATTGTAGGTGTTGTTGGTGTGGTCTGTATTTGTGCTTTTTTATACAGGAAACATTTATTTAGATTAAAAATCAAAGCAACAAAAGAAATTGTAATGAAAAAATTTACAAAATATATTTAAAATATCCAAACCAATAAAAAATTATTGTATGTCGATTAAAACCATTTACATTTTTAACACCAAATATAATTTTCCTTTTAATTATCACATAACCAGTGATTAAAAATTATCTCAGTTTGAATCAATTATCGTTCATTTAAAAATTTTAGAAAAATTATCTTTTTAAAAAAAAATTATCTCTTTTTTTATCCATTTAATAAAATTTACCAATTGATATAAAATAACAATAATTTTTTTTTATTTTTTTTTATTTATTTTTTTTTTTAATTATGGGCAGATTTTTTTTTAAATTTTTTACGTTTTTAAATTTTTCAATTTTTTTTCATTTCTCATTACCTTCATTGAGCCAATCTTCTTCCCTAAGAATGGAATCGTATATGTTGTTCTTAACAAGAAAGAGTCCACAACAATTTATCATTTTTTCTAAAAATAAAAAAACTTTTATATTTTCAATATTATTTTATAATTTTACTTATTATTATCCTTTTTTATCTTTTTTTTATTTTACATTATCTATTTTTATCTTTTTTAAAAAAAATTGATTAGGTGGCAAATACTGTACCAGTCGGTGATATTGTTGGTTCCTCTTGTCTTGGAATTTTTTTCTATAAATTTATTTAAATAAAAGGTAATAAAATGGTTTCAATAAAATATAAATCCCACAAATAAAGCCTAAAATAAAATATTAAACTTTATTCAACACAAAAGCTTTTCGTTATTTTTATTTGCATAAAAAACAAAAAAATTTAAAAAAAAAGTTTTTAAGATGCATCGTATTTTTTTTATGTTGGATGTGTTTCACTTTTTTTTTTTTTTTTTTTTTTTTTTTTTTATATTCGATATCCCTCACATTTAAAATAAACAAAAAAAAAAAAATATTTTTTTAAAAAAAAAATGGGAAGGAAAATTTTTTATTATTTTTTCATTTTTTTAATCTATTTTAAACATACACACACCGCAATAATTTTAGATAGTGAATTTACATGCTATGTAAAGTTTATTAAAAAGTTTAGCTTGAAACAAAATTATCCGAGTAACTATATATTTTTATATATACTAATTATTTTATTTAAACTAATATTTTTTTTAAAATAATAGATACAGACGGGGTTTACTCAAAAGATTTATTTAATCCATATTGCCACGATAATGGATCTCTTAATACCTTTTCACCTCAAAAAGGTAGCAATGATGTTGTCACACCGGGAGCAGAAGTTTTAGATAGCGATCTTGATTGCTTTCCATTTATAACATCTATCAATATTATTGGTTTTACACTCTCTGATAGTTTTCTTTATCATCATTTCCCAACAGTAGAGTCCATCACTTTGAGCAGTAACACATTGAGTGATTTTACACAGAAATTACCATCTTACAAAACATAGTAAGTTATACTTTAAAAAAATTAAAAATATTAAAAAAATTAAAAAAATTAAAAAAATTAAAAAAAAAAAAATTAATTATAAAACAATAGTAGAATTACCTCAAATAGCATCACAAATATTAAAATGTCTCATTTAAACGATATCACTTCATTTTATTTTTTTAATTTAAATTATGCAACTACTTTTGAAGTTGACAGCGGGGCAGATAAAACAAATTTAAAGAGTTTAGATATATTTTTAACAAATTTCCCAAACTTTGAGGGTTATCAATTCGATAGTGCTATATTTACTTTTGGGAGTGTTTTCAATCCATCAGATTTGCTTACAAATTTTCAATATTTAAATGCTATCCAAACAGTTTTCACTTTTAATACAAATTTTAAAGTTCCTTTTTATCTTCACCTCAACCCCTATATAAAAGTTATCGATCATTATATGGGCTATTTCGAAACACCAACTCAATTCTATGATATGTCAAATCTTGTCAATTATCAATCAATCAAGATGAGTTACGTTGGCGAAAATTTCCTTTATCAAGATAAAATTCCATTTAAAGTTAGTCCAACCACAAATCTTGCATTTTCATTGACTTTTACTACTGCAATAACAATTAAACCTCAACTACCTCCAATTACCGATGTTGGCAATTTAAAAACTGCTGCCTATAGATATAGTTACCTATCAGGTAATTTACCAGAATATAACGGACAAGGTTCAGCATACATTTATGACAATAACAAATTAACAGGTACTATACCTGAATCATGGTGCGGCACAGCTTTATCTGTTGCAAATAATCAATTATCAGGGTATGTATTTAATATATTTATTTTAGTATAAATTAAATTAATAATATTAATGTTTTTAAAATAATTATATAGTTCTATTCCATCATGCTTTTCTTGTTATTTAGGTGCTACAGCTCATTATTCAAATGAAATTTCGGGTCCAAACGGTATTGTAACTATGGCTACAATGTATGATAGATTTGCAGGTACTTCTAATACATTTACAAATTATGATAAATCCATTCCATGTACAACTTATAAACCACAAGTTAAATACCATAATCAAACAACCATTATAATTGGTGGTATTGATATTGGTCATCAACTTAACTATTATTATGTTGGTTCAATTTCAATCTCCACCCAGTGTAAATCTGTTCCAGGTTCAGTTATTAGATATGGTTATGAATATTATTGTAATCAAAACATTGGTATTCAAAATTTAAAAATTTTCACATTATACAATATAGGAAATAGTTTACATTATACTTTTGCTTTTGAAAGTAAACCACCAACTTTTACATCAATTATTACAACTGAAAATAATAAAGTATATGCAGTTGGCACATTCTTCTCAAGTTATTTAGGTCAATCAGAACAAACTATAACTATTGCAGGCACAGATTGTCAAGTTACTAACACTGGTTTCACCAACTTTACTTGCATCACATCAGTTACATTATCATCAGAAAAACAACTAGTTGTAATAAAGAATGATAATCAAACTAAAAAAGTATTTGCAGTTTTCGAAAACAATAGACTCAATAATAAACAATGTCCAAATGATTGTGTAGGCTCACCATCAGGAGATATTTGCGATTTAAGCACTGGTACTTGTGTAGGTTGTCCAAACGATTGTAGTGGCCATGGTATTTGTAACGAATCAAAAGGTAAAATAATTATAACCATTATTATATACTTTCATTCATTTAACATATTATTTTTTAACTCATATTAAATATTTTTATCCTTTTCAATTATGTTTTTAATAGGCAAATGTGAATGTAATCCAAACTATATAAATTTCGATTGTTCAAAACTATACATCCCGTGTCCAAACGATTGCAGTTCACACGGTCAATGTGATACTAATACTGGTATTTGTAAATGTGATGACAATTATATCCATGATGATTGTTCAGAATTATATATCCCATGTCCAAATGATTGTAGCTCACACGGTCAATGTAACACTAATACTGGTATTTGTAAATGTGATTCCAATTATATTAATGATGATTGTTCAGAATTATACATCTCATGTCCAAATGATTGTAGCTCACACGGCCAATGCAACACTAATACTGGTATTTGTCAATGCAGCACTAATTATATTCAAGATGATTGTTCAGAATTATACATAGAATGTCCAAACAATTGCAGCTCACATGGTCAATGCAACAATAACACTGGTATTTGCCAATGCAGCACTAATTATATCCATGATGATTGTTCAGAATTATATATCTCATGTCCAATTGATTGTGGATCACACGGTAAATGTAACACTAATACTGGTATTTGTAAATGTGATGACAATTATATTCAAGATGATTGTTCAGAATTATACATTCAATGTCTAAACAATTGCAGCTCACATGGTCAATGCAACACTAATACTGGTATTTGTAAATGTGATGACAACTATATTCAAGATGATTGCTCAGAATTATACATCGAATGTGCAGATCCAATATGTTCATATCAAGGTCATTGTATTACATCAAATGGTATTTGTGATTGTAATAATGGATTCGGTGGTGACAAATGCGAGTTCAGTCAACACTATATTTCATCAGTTAACCCATCGAATGAAAATGGTGGTGAAGCAAGCTTCTATGGTAGTTTTGGTGAACAACACAACCAATTATCAGTTATAATCGGATCAAAAACATGTCCAGTTACACACTCTTCAAATGATTTAATTAATTGCACAGCACCACCAGGTAAAGGTATTCACAGTCTCAATATCACTCAAAACAATATTGTTTATATTGGTAAAGATATTTACATTTATTCAAAAATACCACAAAACATATTCGAATGTCCAAAGAACTGTTCATCACATGGTAAATGTAATACATCAAATGGTAGATGTGATTGTTATTTAGGATATACATCATTTGATTGTGGATCAATGCTCGGAGGAGGAAATAAAGATAATTCAACCACAACAACTGAACCACCAACATCAAATGTGGATAACAGCACAGGTATTGTAAATTTTCAAAATGAGAGAATCAACTTTAAAATCTTCCTCAAATCATTAAATGAAATAGATATTAATAATAATATTGTCAAGAGTTATCCATTAGTATCAGATTGGACAGTAATCAAAACACAATCAAACATTTATACATTCGAACAATCACCAAACAAAGACGAATTTAAAGTTATATCAACCATTGAACAAATTGAAAACGACAGATCAGTTTCATTTGCAGGTATCGACTTTTTACTCACCAATAACTCAATTAAATTCACAGTTTTAATTAAAAACTATAAATATCAATCATTCTTAAACACACTTCAACTCGAAATGGAATCAAACACAACTGAATTAGCCAATGATGATTGCAACAATAAAGAAACTCAAATAGACACTGAAAACCTCAAAAATCAATATGATCTCAGTTATATTAAACTTTTAAAGAATAATATCGATTTTGTAGGTAGATTCATCAACAAAGTAGTATCAGACTCGAAACCAACATTTTTAACAACATCATACACCAAACTCAACGATTCAGTAACTATCACATTACACTTACCACATTGTGTCAATGAATGTTTAATCGATCCAGGTAATATATTATCTTAATTGAAATTGTTTTTATTATTACTATTATATTAAAAGTTTTTATTTTTTTATTCAGATTTCTCTGCATTATTATCATCAAATTTCTCAGAATGCAAATCACCAAAACAAAATATCAAATGGAAGATAGTGGTTGGTGTTGTTGTAGGTGTTGTTGGTGTGGCCTGTATTTGTGCTTTTTTATATAGGAAACATTTATTTAGGTTAAAAATCAAAGCAACAAAAGAAATTGTAATGAAAAAATTTACAAAATATATTTAAAATATTCAAACCAATAAAATAATTTAAAAAAAAACTTGTTTTTCAGACTTGTCTGTTACATTTTTTTTTTTTTTTTTTTTTTTTTTTTTTTTTTTATTAAAAAAGATAACATTCACTTATTTTAATCAAAGGATAAAAAGTTCTATTATATGATGGATACAACAATAGTTGAGTATCATTTATTAACCAAATATTTGATTTTTTTAAATTAAATTCAATATAATTTGTAATGGGAATATTTCTAAAAATATTAATATTAAGTTTTAATTATTGAGTCTTTTTTTTTTTTTTTTTATTTAAAGGAAAAAATAATCTATTCTTTAAAAAAAAATAAAACAATCATATTATTCCTGAATCTGTCAAAAAGAAATTTCATTACAGTTTTATTTACGTTAAACAAATAAATGATCAAAAATGGGCATGGATGATATTATTAATTTTTTTTTAATTTTTATTTTTTTTTTTTGAAAGATTTTTTTTTTTAAATTTTTTTTTTTTAAATTTTTTTTTTTTTAATTTAATTTTTTAATTTAATTTTTTTTTTTTATTAACAATTATTTTTAAAAAAAAATTTCATATAATACCTTTTTTTTTTTTCAAAAATAATAATAACAATATAATTATTTTATAATATTCAATAATAGAAAAAAAAAAAAAAAAAATGAGTTTCCAAAAAATTGTAGTAGATCAACCAGTTGTCGAAATGGACGGTGATGAAATGACCAGAGTAATTTGGAAAATGATCAAGGACAAGTTAGTTCATCCATTTTTAGATTTAAAGATTGAATATTACGATCTTGGTATGGAACACAGAGATGCCACTAACGACCAAGTCACAGTCGATTGTGCCCACGCTATCCAAAAATATAATGTCGGTATTAAATGCGCTACCATTACTCCAGATGAAGCCCGTGTCGAAGAGTTCAAATTAAAACAAATGTGGAAATCACCAAATGGTACAATTAGAAATATTCTCGGCGGTACTGTATTCAGAGAACCAATCCTTTGCAAAAATGTTCCACGTCTTGTCAGTGGTTGGAAAAAATCAATTGTCATTGGTCGTCACGCTCATGGTGACCAATATAAAGCTACCGATTTCGTTGTTAAAGGTGCCGGTAAATTAGAAATGACTTTTACTCCAGCCGATGGTAGTGCTCCACAAAAATTCACCGTTTTCGATTTCCAAGAAGGTGGTGTCGCTATGGGTATGTACAATACTGATGAATCCATTGTTGGTTTCGCCAAATCATGCTTTGAATACGCTCTTCAAAAAGGATGGCCACTTTATTTATCAACTAAAAATACTATCCTCAAGAAATATGACGGTCGTTTCAAAGATATATTCCAAGAGATTTATGAAAAGGAATACAGAGGCAAATACGAAGCTGCCAAGATTTGGTATGAACATAGACTTATTGACGATATGGTTGCCTATGCTATGAAGAGTGATGGTGGTTTTGTTTGGGCCTGTAAAAACTACGATGGTGATGTCCAATCCGATTCTGTTGCTCAAGGTTATGGTTCACTTGGTCTTATGACTTCAGTCCTCCTCTGTCCAGATGGTAAGACTGTTGAAGCTGAAGCTGCTCATGGTACTGTCACTCGTCATTATCGTGAACATCAAAAAGGAAGAGAAACCAGTACCAATCCAATCGCCTCTATTTTTGCTTGGTCACGTGGTCTTGCTCATCGTGCTAAATTAGACGGTAATGATAGATTAGCCAAATACTGTAACGCCTTAGAAGCTGCCTGTGTTGATTCAGTCGAAGCTGGTTTCATGACTAAAGATTTAGCAATTTGCGTTAGAGGAACCACAAATGTTCCACGTTCCGATTACCTCAACACCGAAGAATATATTAACAAAGTTAGCGAGTACCTTATTAAAAACTTAACATTGTAAGCATTACTTTAATCATATTTATATAAATATTTCTTTTATCCAGATCCATTCCTTTATTTTTATAAAATATATCTAATAATTTTTTTTTTTTTTATAAAAGATAATAAAATAATTTCTAATTTTTTATAATTTAAATTTCTATTATTTAAATAAGGCAAAGTAGATTATAAAAATTAAATTAATTTTTAATAAAACATTATAATAATATTAAAATAAAATATTGTAGTTTAAAAATAAAAGAATAATAATATAAACATTTAATAAAATTATTATATTATTGCAATTTATACATTTATAAAACAATTATAAAACTTTGTGTAATTTTTTATTTTTATTTATTATAACTTGTAATGCACAAGTTTTATTGATTATGGTCTATTTCTTCAAAAAACCAATTTTTATATTTATCGAATCTTAGTAAATTATCGTGGTGTTTTAATAATGAAACACGATGACCAACACTAATAATGGTGATGTTTAATTCTTTGGCGATTTGATAAACTTTTTCCTCGAGGGATTGTGGAATAGAACTGGTGGCTTCGTCTAACAATGCAAACTGTGGAGAATGGTAGAGTAGTCTAATAATTGATATTAATTGCTGTTCACCAGGCGAGAGTGAGTTTAACCAATTATGGGTAAGGTCATTGATTTGTGCACTCTTTTTAATGAAATTTTCTCTATCCAAAAGGTAGTCAATATCTAGTCTAGCAAATAATTCTCTTAGTTGTTTCTTTGGAATTCTTTTATCTTTTTTAGAAAGAGGATAAAGAATTTGTTCCTCAAGTTCACCAAAAATTAAATAAGGTTGTTGAGGTAAAAAGAAAATCTTATCGCTTTCTGGTCTATTGATTCTTCCTTTAAAGAATGGCCACAAACCGTTAATAACTCTAATTAACGAGGATTTACCGCTACCGCTTGGACCCATAATTAATAAATTTTTACCTTTTTCAATGCAAACAGTGATATCTAAAAGAAAAAAAGATATTAGTAACAAAATTTTTTTTTTTTTTTTTATATAGTTATAATTACTTGAAAATAATTGATTTCCTTTTGGTGTAAAATATGTAATATCATCTAAAATAATATTTTCGCCTTGGTTTAATCTAATTGATCTATTGGTTGTATTAACATGAATCTCTTGGTTTAAACTATCGTTGCTACCATCTTTTTCATTTAATGATGAGGTTTCAGTTTCATATGAATCATCATTTAATACTTTTGAACAAACTTCAATCATTGATGAAATACGTGATATAAAACCAGCCAAGTCAGAGATATTAGTTGATACATTGATATATTGACTAAAGCCACTAGCTAACATAATACAGTTATAAGATTGCTAAAAATAATTATAAATTAAATTTGGTTAATAAAATAATATTTGAACTATTATAATGGTCATAATGATATACTTACAACTGTAACTTCTGCAGGTAATAAAGCTGATTTTGTGTGTAAAAAGAATACTGGCATTGCAATAATAAAGTAGTTTACTAATGGACTTAAATATGTGAATAAATCGGATGTAGCTAAAAATTAAATTAAAATGATATTAGTAAAAGTAAATAATTTCTTTAAATGATAAAATTATAAGGTACTTACTAGTTAAACCAAAGTTCCAAAAAATAACTCTTTTTTTATTTGCTAATAATGATTCAAATTGTATCTTTGCTTGTCTTTCTTCGACTAAAAATTCTTCTTCAAGTTTCTTTCTTTTCTCTTCAGAAATGCTTGATTTTGTATTGCCAGTTTTAGTGAATGGTGTTCTATTCTTTCTATTGATTACAGTTGATTCATCAGCAGATTCTTCTGAAAAATCTACACTATCGCTTTTTCTCAATGTTGTGGAGGCATCAGATGTTTTTCTCTTTGGTTTGTTTGATTTGTTTTTGGAATAGTTAAAAAGTGCAATTGATTCTGAAAAGTTACGGACTCTTTGATGAAGGTATCTGAAATCACCTTCTAATTTATCTTGAAGGTAGTTAATACTAACCATTGGCGATATGACAAGCTTGTTGACAAAGTAACCCAAGAAAAAGTAAGCATAGACAATTAATGGAGCATACCATTCAATAGTAGTATAGCAAAGGTAGGTATAGTAAATAACGACCATTGGACCAGTTATGCAATTTGATACAATCGAAGCCAAGAGAGTTGTAAATTTATCGATATCTGATGTAATACGTTGATCTGGGTTATCGATATTATCATTAAATGCAATAATTTTATAGAAGAGTGATTTCTTGAAATATACATTTTGAATATAAAAGCATAAGGTTTTTCTCCAGTTCCAGCCCATTAAAGCAACAATGAATTGAATCGAAGAATCGAATAATGCCGAAACACCAATTACACCCAATCCTTTAAATACTGATTCATAAAATAATTTTTTATCTCCAGTTGTAAATGATTGATAAACATTTGCAAGAATAATACCTATATAATTGTGTAATAATTAGTATATTTTTATTTTTTTATTATTATCTATTTTTTATTTTTTATTCTTATCAAAACTTACCAGTATATTTGCTTATATATGTTTGACCAACAGCGAAACCAAATAAAGTACCAACTAACATTAAAGGTATGACTGGGTTCATGTATAGAATTTTAACAATTTTTAAAAATCTAACAAACAATGCCCAATCAAACTTATTCTCTTTAATCTTCTTTAAAGTTTCTTCTGATTGACTGTAGTTTTTATTTTTGAAATCTTCATCTTCTTCGTAATCTTCGAAATCATTTTGATATGATGTAAATTTTTCGCTATTAATTGTATTTATTGTTTCATTATTGTTAATAGAGAAATCTTTATCTACATTCATTTTTATCTCTCTTTAAAGAAAATAAAACAAATATGAATATAAAAAATTCACCCCCCCTTTTTAAAAAAAAAAATAAAAAATAAATATATAAATAATTAAAAAAAATTAAAATTTAGAAAAAAAAAAAAAAAAAATAAAATAAAATTAAAAAAAAAAAAAACAAAATTAAAAATAAAGCAAAACGAGTGAAAATACCTGTTCCAGTATTAATCTTTTCCAGTATAAACTATATTTAAATATTATTCATTATGACTGTATATGATATTTTGGTTTAAAAATTTTTTTCGTAAATTAATTTGCAAAAAATACGAATTGTAAAAAAAAATATCTGTTTTTTTTTTATGAAAATGAAATTTAATATTTATTTTTGGATTGATCTCAATGAAAAAAAAGAAAAATAGTTTTAATTTAATCTTTATTAAGTTATTCTTTATTAAGTTATTTATTTACTTTCAATTATAACATTATTTAACTTTTTTTTATAATTTTCTAAATCCTTAATAATTGAATCGATTGAGGGTCTTAATAAAGGTTCAGAGTCCCAAGATTGTTGTAAAATTTTTGAAAGCTCGGTTGGTATGCTCTTACTAATTGTTGGTCTTAAATTCTAGAATAAATAAAAGTTAAAATGCTGATGCTATAGTTTTTAAATAGATATGAACTAAATTACTTACGAGTTTGGATGTTTTGTGAATAATTTGAAAATCAAAATCGATTTCGACATCTGAAAATGGTTTTTGATATTTTTTATTTTGGCATCTTTCAAATATTTCCCAAAGTACAATCGATAAGCTATAGATATCTGATTTCGAGGTGTAGGATTTCGATGATAATAGTTCTGGTGGTGTATATAAAAAATTACCACGAATTTCGTTTAAAGATTTATCTTCAACCAAGTTAAATCTTGAAAATACAAAATCATGGATTTTAATATTAATATTATCTAAACTGTTATTGTTGTTGCTATTGTTATCTTTATCCTGGTTACTATTGTTTGATGGCTCTGAAATTAAAAAACATTCATTTGTTATATTTCTGTGTAAAATAGGTGGTTGATGTTTATGAAGGTATTGAATTGTTTGTGAAATTTGAATTGCTAAATCTAAAGTATTTGACCAATTAAAGTCGATACTTTCGTCTTGTAATAGTTTTAAAAGATTACCACGGTATCCAACATGTTCTGTGACAATTGCATATTCTTGTTTATTAAATACAACACCTAAGAATTGAACCGCAAGTGGCGATTTGATAGACGCTAAAATATTTAATTGTTTAAGTTCAAATTCATCGACGGTGCTATTAAATTGTTTGATTGAAACAAGTTGGTTCTTATAATGACCCTCCAAGATTGAATAGTTATCTTTTATCATAATTGTTTTAATATTGGTGATTTCATTTGGTTTGATGGTAAAATCTTTTAATTTATGAGTGTTTATTAATTCGTTAATATGATTGTTGTTCGAGTTGTTTAAGCTATTATTTATAAAAAGTTGATTTGGAGCTGTATTGTTATTTTGTGAGTTGGGGTTATTTACTGATGATGATATAATTTTTAGTTTTTGTAAAATCTGAGAGAATGTTGGTCTTAAATCTGGGTTTTTATTGCAACATTCTTTGATCAATTCTGAAAAGAAAGGATGACAATTTATATTTGATGGTATTTCTGGATAGCCTGAGATGGTTTGTGCCATATTACCTGATGGTTGCTTATGTGTAATAATTTCCCATAAAACTATACCAAAACTATAGACATCCACTTTTGTGGTATATCCTCTACCTGCGAATACTTCTGGAGCAATCCATGATAATGTTCCACAAAATGTTTTTGCAGAACTGCCAATACCACTAATAAATCTAGATAAACCAACTTTAAAAATAAAAGACATTATTAAAATTAATATTTTAAATGAAAAGTTTAAATATTATAGATGAATGTACTTACAATCACTAACTTTAACATTATAATTGGTGTCAACCAGGAGATTTAAAGTTTTTAAATCTCTGTGAATAATCGATGGGTTATAAGTGTGAAGATAGTTCATACCTTGAGTAATATCAATTAACATTTTTATTTTGATATTTAATGATAGTTCATTGGGGGATGTTGTATCTAAGACATCTCTTAATGAGCCACGATCTAAATATTCGGTGATAATCGAAAGATTACCATTTAATAGACAGGTTCCCATAAACAAAACAACATTTGGATGTCGAAGACACTTTAAAATTTCTACTTCTTTGTCAAATTCTTCTTTTTTATCTTTTCTTAATAGTGATTTGAATATAGTTTTTACTGCTACTGGAGTACCCTTCCATTCATATTGACAAACTTCACCACATGCCCCTTGTCCAATTTTTTTAAAAAATACTAATTCTTTTTCTTCTATATTTAATTTTAATGCATCTTCAACTTTTACTGGTGTGCTTTCTCTTTTATGTTTTTTAAAATTTTGTTGATTTTCGTTTTCTATTTGTTGTTGATATTGCTGGTTTTGGAGTTGTTTTTGTTGATATGGGCTTTGTTGTATATGGATATTTTGGGTTTGGTGTTGTGTTGCATATTGAGTATGTTGGGGACTTTGATTATTATCATCTCTTTCCCTTTTGGCTAATAAAGATTTTTGTACAATAATTTGTTGTTGGTGGTGTTGATGTTGCTCTATATGGTGGTGTTGATTTTGTTGATGCTCTAAGTGGTGTTGTTGTTCCAGTTGAATCATCTGTTGATAATGTTCTTGTTGTAATCTCTGTTGTATTTTTAAAGGTGATTCATTAAGATTATCTAGATCAGGAAGTTCTTGAGTTTGTGCAATTTCGTTGTTTTCACATATTGACATTAGACTGCTGTCTTCTTTTTCAATCTGAATCATAAATTGTTGCGAGCCTTCATATAAAGATATTGAGTCGTTGTTTTCTAATTTATTAAAAACTCCTTTTTCTAATTTAATTGGTTCTTTATCCTTTCTATATAGTAAGCTATAGTTTCTACCTAACTGATTAAATATAACACTTCCAACTTCTCCTGACACTATTATTTCTGCATGTTTTCGACTGAAATATTGAAGATAAGAGGGTGTGAGTAAAAACCACAACATTTTTTTTTTATTTGTTTATTTTAGAAAATATAATAAATATACTATTTACCTTATTTTGTTGTCATTTAAAAATACAGGTGAGCCTCTGCCAATAATATTTGAACCAGGATTTAAACGAAATGATAATGGTGAACTTGAATCGGGTGAATTGAATAATAAAGTTGCTAATATTTTAGATTTTGCATTATCCCTCTCATTATCTGATGATGATGATGATTGTGTGTCATCGGTATTATCATCTTCGAAAGGTTGTGTATTTGACATAATAATTGTTTTATTATTTTTTTTATTACTTTTTTTAATAATTACAAACAAAATAAAAATACAAATATTAATACAATGATTACAAAAAAAATAGAATTATTGATTTTATTATTATAAGAAACTTTCCAAGAAGATGGTTGTTGTTTTCTATTTGGCAGATTTGATAAATAAATAAATATTAAGAAAAAAAAAATGAAAATATAAAATTTTAATTCAAAAAAAATAATTTATTATTATTTTTTTTTTTTTTCAAAAAAATAAAAAAAATTAAAATAGATATTTTTTTATAGCCATAATTAAAAAAAAAAAATAAATAAAAAAAATAGAAAAAAATTGTTGTTTGTTATTTTACATCTATTGGTAAATTTTATTAAATGGATAAAAAAAGAGATAATTTTTTTTTAAAAAAAAGATATTTTTTCTAAAATTTTTAAATGAACGATAATTGATTCAAACTAAAGATAATTTTTAATCACTGGTTATGTGATAATTAAAAGGAAAATTATTTTTGGTGTTAAAAATGTAAATGGTTTTAATCGATTGTAAATTAATACCCCCCCTTATCTACATTAATACAATAATTTTTTATTGGTTTGGATATTTTAAATATATTTTGTAAATTTTTTCATTACAATTTCTTTTGTTGCTTTGATTTTTAACCTAAATAAATGTTTCCTATATAAAAAAGCACAAATACAGGCCACACCAACAACACCTACAACAACACCAACCACTATCTTCCATTTGATATTTTGTTTTGGTGATTTGCACTCTGAGAAATTTGATGATAATAATGCAGAGAAATCTGAATAAAAAATAAAAACTTTTAATATAATAGTAATAATAAAAACAACTTCAATAATTTAATATATTACCTGGATCGATTAAACATTCATTGACACAATGTGGTAAGTGTAATGTGATAGTTACTGAATCGTTGAGTTTGGTGTATGATGTTGTTAAAAATGTTGGTTTCGAGTCTGATACTACTTTGTTGATGAATCTACCTACAAAATCGATATTATTCTTTGAAAGTTTAATATAACTGAGATCATATTGATTTTTGAGATTTTCAGTGTCTAATTGAGTTTCTTTACTGTTGCAATCATCATTGGTTAATTCGGTTGTGTTTGATTCCATTTCGAGTTGAAGTGTGTTTAAGAATGATTGGTATTTATAGTTTTTAATTAAAACTGTGAATTTAATTGAGTTGTTGGTGAGTAAAAAATCGATTCCTGCAAATGAAACTGATTTATCGTTTTCAATTTGTTCAATGGTTGATATAACTTTGAATTCGTCTTGGTTTGGTGATTGTTCGAATGTATAAATGTTTGATTGTGTTTTGATTACTGTCCAATCTGATACTAATGGATAACTCTTGACAATATTATTATTAATATCTATTTCATTTAATGATTTGAGGAAGATTTTAAAGTTGATTCTCTCATTTTGAAAATCTACAATACCTGTGCTGTTATCTACATTTGATGTTGGTGGTTCAGTTGTTGTGGTTGAATTATCTTTATTTCCTCCTCCAAGCATTGATCCACAATCAAATGATGTATATCCTAAATAACATTCACATTTACCATTTGATGTATTACATTTACCATGCGATGAACAGTTCTTTGGACATTCGAATATGTTTTGTGGTACTTTTGAATAAATGTAAATATCTTTACCAATATAAACAATATTGTTTTGAGTGATATTGACACTGTGAATACCTTTACCTGGTGGTGCTGTGCAATTAATTAATTCATTTGAAGAGTGTGTAACTGGACATGTTTTTGATCCGATTATAACTGATAATTGGTTGTGTTGTTCACCGAAACTACCATAGAAGCTTGTTTCGCCACCATTTTCATTTGATGGGTTAACTGATGTAATATAATGTTGACTGAATTCACATTTGTCACCCCCAAATCCATTATTACAATCACAAATACCATTTGATGTATCACAATGACCTTGAGATGAACATGTTGGATCTTTACATTCGATGTATAATTCTGAACAATCATCTTGAGTATAGTTGGTATTACAACTACACTTTCCAGTATTGGTATCACAATTACCATGTGAACTGCAATCGTTTGGACATACGATGTATAGTTCTGAACAATCGAAATTTATATAGTTTGGATTACATTCACATTTGCCTATTAAAAATATAATTGAAAAGAATAAACATTTTTAATATGAGTTAAAAAATAATGTATTTAATGAATGAAAGTATAATAATGGCTTTAGTTATTTTACCTTCTAATTCGTTACAAGTACCATGGCCACTACAATCGTTTGGACAACCTACACAAGTACCAGTGCTTAAATCGCAAATATCTCCAAATTGTGAGCCTACACAATCATTTGGACATTGTTTATTATTGAGTCTATTGTTTTCGAAAACTGCAAATACTTTTTTAGTTTGATTATCATTCTTTATTACAACTAGTTGTTTTTCTGATGATAATGTAACTGATGTGATGCAAGTAAAGTTGGTGAATCCAGTGTTAGTTACTTGACAATTTGTGCCTGCAATTTTTATAGTTTGTTCTGATTGACCTAAATAACTTGAGAAGAATGTACCAATTGCATATACTTTATTTTCAGTTGTAATAATTGATGTAAAAGTTGGTGGATTACTGACTAGTGAAAAAGTATAATGTAAATTATTACCCATATTGTATAAAATGATTGATGTACTATTTAAGAAAGAATCTTGATTACAATAATATTCATAACCATATCTAATAATTGCTTGTGGAACACTTTTGCACAGTCCTTTACCTAAAATAGCTGTATTAACATAATAATGGTTAAGTTGATGACCAATATCAATACCACTAATTATAATGGTTGTTTGATTATGGTATTTAACTTGTGGTTTATAAGTTGTACATGGAATATTCTTATCATAATTTGTAAATTTATTAGTACTACCTGCAAATCTATCATACATTGTGGTTATAAAGAGGAAATTGGTTGGTTGAGATATTGATGATGGCATTGAAGCAGTACTATTAAAATAACAAGAAAAACATGATGGAATGGTACTAATAATATTTTAAATGATAAATCAAAAATAATTGTTAAAATTATGATACAATGGTTCATAAAATAAAACTGTTAATACAAACCCTGATAATTGATTATTTGCAACAGATAAAACTGTGCCGCACCATGATTCAGGTATAGTACCTGTTAATTGGTTATTATCATAAATGTATTCTGAACCTTGTCCATTATATTCTGGTAAATTACCTGATAGGTAACTAGATGCATATTTAACAGTTTTTAAATAACCAACATCGGTAATAGGAGGTAATTGAGGTTTAATTGTTAATGAATTTGTTACAGTTAACGAAAATGCAAGATTTGTGGTTGGACTAACTTTAAATGGAATTTTATTTTGATAAAGGAAATCCTCACTAACAAAACCCATACTGATAGATTGATAATTGACAAGATTTGATATATCGTAGAATTGAGTTGGTGTTTGAAACTTACCATTATAGTGATTCATAAAGTTAATATAAGAGTTTAAGTGAAGATAAAAAGGAACTTGATAGTTTGAAGGAAATGTAAATTGAGCACTTGAAGCATTTAAATATTGGAAATTTGTAATTACTTCTGATGGATTCAATGTATTGCTAAAAGTAAATGTAACACTATCGAATTGATAACCTCTAAAGTCTGGGAAATTACTCATGGATAAAGTCAAATGCTTTAAATTTTTATTTTCTGCTCCACTGTCTACCTCAACAATAGTATTTGCTGACAAACTTTGATGCTTAAAATTCTTGACATTCTCTACATATGACATTTTTAAATTTTTTATTCCATCAGAGGATATAAAACTGTGGAAGTTATTTAATTTATAGATTTTTTATAAAAATTAATAAATATTATTAAATTATATTATAAATAAATGGTAATACTTACAAATATTCATAAGGTGGTAATTTTTGAGTTAAATCTTGTATTTCTGGGCAATTCAATGTTACTGTAGTAACTGCCGAGAATTCATAATAAAAAAATTCGTTGGATGGTTTTAAAATATTAATGGAGAGAGTAGTCATAAATGGGAAGCAACTAACATCAGTAGGTAACACATCAACTTTAATAATTGCATCTGTTAAATCTACATATGATTGAAAACCATTTATAGACCCATTTGTATGACAACTTGATCTTGCACATAATGTATCATCACTTGTATCTATTTTTATAAAAGAAATAAATATTTTAAAAAAATTTTAATTAATTTTTTATTAATTGTAACTATTACCTTGATAATGAACTTTTAAATTAAACTTATTAATAAAGTTTAAATAGCATGTTTTTTCATTTGGAGGGATAATAATACCAAATGAGAATTTTGAAAATATTAAAAAAATATAAAGATAAAAAAAAAATAAATAAATTTTTGTCATTTTCAAGTATGTTCAAAAAAAAAAAATTTCAAATGAAAAAAAAAAAATATTTAAAAGAAAAAAAATGCAGTTGTCGAAAAAAAATCTGAAAAAAAAATTTTATTTTGCTTTGGGTGATTTACGGTAAAAAAATGAAAAAAAATTACTTATTTTTTTTATATTCATTTATTATATTTAATTTGATTATTATTTTTTTTATAATTGGTTTGATCCCGTGTTAAATTATTGATATAAAAAATTATATTGGTATTATAAAGGTAAATGGTTAATCGATATAGAATTTAATTAAAAAGAAATCAAATATTTAATAAAATTAACTGATACTCTACTATTGTTGTATCCATCATTCAATAGAACCAACTTTTTATCTTTTGATTAATTAAAAAAGTGTATATATGTATTATCTATTTCTTTTTTATTTATTAAATAATGAAGTTTGTCTGTTTTAATTAAAAAAAAATTCAAATTAATTATTGTTATGCTATTGAATAGATGATGTGATAAGATCATTATAGTTTACATTAATGCATTTATATGAATAGAATCTATATATTGAAAATATAATCAAAACCAATGAGAGACATTGTCATAAATCTCAATGAAAAAGAATTTAAATTAATAAATGTGTGTATATATGTATTTATTTAAAACTAATATATAAATACATCATTACTATAATAGAAGAGTTTGGTCCCACAACACCAAACTCATCATATTACAATCTGCCACAAGTAAATTTTTTTTGTTATAAATAATTCTTTTTATATCTTCATCTCTTTTTAAAATAATAATAATAATAATTCACTAATTTATAAAATATAATTGTTTTGTGCTTCGGAGTATTTTTTAATAACACTTTCCCAAACAATAATAAATAAACCAATCTCCTATTATATCAAAGAGCAACCCTTTATAAAATATTGTTTTTTTTTTTTTCTTTTTTTTTTCTTTTTTTATTTTTAATTTTTAAAAAATTTTTAAGAAATTATTTTTTTCTCCAATATTTTTAAATAATGCATTTGCATATCAAATCGATTATCATTATAAAAATGCTCATAAAAAACAAATATACACTAAATAATAACAACAATAAGCACCCATACAAATAAATACTTATGGATATAGATAATAATTATAATATTATTAATAACGATTACAATAATAATCAAAATAAAATTCTTTTTTTAAAAATTTATAATAGTATAGTATTAAGAAATGAAATTTCTAGACACATCAAACTATTTAATTTATATCATAAAGCCAAATTTACAATAAAAAAGAGTTTGCTAGAATATACATATAGAGAGTACATCAAAGAATTAGAGATAGATTTTAATGAAGAGTTAAATAATTATAACGATATTCCATCATCAGTTACCCATCTTTCATTCTTAAATTCATTCAATATGCCAATAAACCATCGAACAATACCGCCTGATGTTACCAGTCTAGTATTTGGAGATAGCTTCACTGGATCATTGCAACATTTACCACCCTCAATTAGGGTATTGAAATTAGGATCAAGGTTTTCACAATTAATAGAGTCACTTCCTATTTCATTAACAGAACTAACCCTAGGAAAATCATTTTCTCAAGAGTTTAAACCTGGTCTAATTCCTTCAAATGTGGTCACATTAATCCTTGGGGAGCAATTTAACCATCAAATATTACCACAAGCGCTACCCAACTCTATAACATCATTAACTTTTGATAAAATATATAATAAGGAGTTTTTAATGGGATCTATACCTAACTCTGTCACTACACTTTCATTCATTAATCAATCTCAATTCAACAAAGAAATAAAAAGCGGTATTCTCCCACAATCTCTGACCATGCTCTCTTTGGGTAGATGTTTTAACCAGTATATAATGCCAAATGTTTTGCCGCAAAGTCTTACACATCTTTCATTTGGAGATAAATTCAACCAGCCCTTACTTCATAAAGATATATTGCCTCCAAATTTAACCTATCTCTCATTTGGGGTAAAGTTTAACCAAGTTATTAAGGAGTATATTCTTCCGATGTCGCTTACCTCTCTAGTATTTGGAAGTGACTTCAAGAAAATATTACCACCAGATGATATCATTGTTCCACCATCTATAACCACTATTACATTCAAAAAAAACACATATACAGGCGATAAAGAAAAAATTAAAAGAATTCTAACTGAAAGAAATTTAGCTATAACTAAAGCATTGGAAAAAAATAATAAAAACTCATCAATGATGAATTCTTGGAAATCTAGAGTAAATAAAATACAATGAAATAATATTAAAAATAAAATAATATTGAAAATAAATAAATAAATAAATAATAATAATAATAATAATAATTTAAATAATATATAATTTTATGTTTAACAATTTTTCGTACATTCAAAATTTTTTTAAAATTATTATTATTAATTAATATTTTATTAAATATAATTTCAAAAAATATAAAATTTAAAAAATAATTTTTACTATTTTCTAAAAAGGGTAATTATAATTTTTTTTTTTATTTTTTTATTTTTTTTTTTTTATTTTTTATTTTTTATTTTTTATTTTTTTATTTTTATTTTTTATTTTTTATAATAATAATACTATATCATTTATTTCTTTTTTTTTTTTTTTTTCTATTTTACAAACTTTATAATAAAAAATTAAAAAATAATAATTATATCTTAAAAAACAATGGAATCTAAAGATAATATACCACCACCTCCACCACCACCATTACCCCAAGAGCATTTAAATGCTGGTATTAAAAAACCAACCACAACTACAACAACCACAACAACCACAACTAATAGTAGCAATATTAATAACAATAACAATTTTAACACAATGAATAGAGCAGTTCCATCTCAAGAACATTTTAGCAAATCACCCACCTACGCTCGAATCCCACCACCATTAAATCAACAGAACCAGTACCAGCAACCATATCCTCAACAACAACAGTATTCACAACCACAATACCAACAACCACCACAACAATATAATAATAGCGGCTTTCCTCAACAAAACAATAATTATGGTTATTCAGGACCACCCCAAGCAGATTTTAAACCAGAAAATCCTCCACTATCAAAACTTGATACATTTTTAGCAAATGGAAAAGTATACTCTGATGAGGCTAAAACAAAGATTATCAATTTCGATCGTAAGTTTTTAAAACTGTTTTTATTTCATAATCCAATATATATAAAAAAAATATTAATTGTTTTTTTTCTTTAGAACATTACAAAATTTCAGAAAATGTTAAAAAAACAGCTCATGATGCTAAACCAAAGATTATAGGTGGATTTAATTTCTTAAAAACAAAATTTAATGATTTGGTAGACGGAAAAGGTACTGATAGGGTGGATGGTCCAGATATTAACCCAGTGCTATCAACACCTATAAATGGGCAACCACAATCACAAGGTCCAAAACAACCACCTCAATTATACTCATATCAACAACCAGTCCAAAACCAATATCAAGGACCATCCGCTCAACAACAATACCCCTATCAACAATACCAACAATCGAATAATCCATATAATAATATTAATAATGATAGTGGTAAACCAATATCATCCACAATGCCACAACAACAGTCACAACAATATACACCATCACAACAACAATACCAATATCAACAAAATAATAACAATATTAATAATAATAATAACATAAATGATAATATTAAATTTAGTAACATGTCTGAACCAAATCTAAAAGGTACCTCCAATATTACTAATTCCGCCAATATAGAATCTAGAAATGCTGAAAATTATAATATAACAACAGAACAAACAAAATAAAATATTTATTGTTTTTATTAATTTAGTTTTTTTTGTTAAATTATTATTATTTTTATTATTAATCAAACACATAAAATAAATATTAATTTTTACCCACACATAAAAAAATACAAATAAAAAAAATATACAATTTCTATTTTTATATTTAAAAGATTTTTATAAATGTCAATACTTTATATTTAAAACACAACCCACACAAAATTTATAATTTTATAATTTTAAATTATAATTATAAAATATATATATATAATTACAAATAATTAAAATTATTAGTGTATTATGGACGAGTTTGTTGTGTACTTTTTTTCTAATTTTTTTTATTTATATATTTATTTTATATTTTTTAGTTTTGATAACAATATAAAAAATATTTAAATATGATCAATCTCTTTTTTTAATTCTATCCAAAAATATAAATAACCCAAACACACTGATGTGTTCGTTTTTTGAAAAAAAAAGATTTTTTTTTATTTATAAAATTTATTTTTTTAATTTTAATTTTTTTTTATTTTTTAATTTTAAAAAAATTTTTTTATTTTTATTTTATTTTTTTTTGTTAAACTTGAAAATTAGTTTTAAAAGTTAAATTTTAATAAAATAAAATAAAATAGTTATTTTGTGTTAAAATAAAATAAATAGAAATATAGTAGAAAAATAATATAAAAATATAATAATAAAAATATAACATTAATGATAGGAAATAATAATAATAATAATAATAATAGTTTAAATAATAATAATAATAATGATAATAATAGTAATAATATAAATAATGTAAATAATAATAATGAAGAAAATAATTTTAGTATTCAACAACAGTTTTATTCACAAAGAAGAAATTCTTTAACATATAATATGGATAATAGTAATGGTAATAATAATGAATTGGCAGGTGGGGGCAATCATACATTAACAGAATATGAATATAGAGATGCAGATTACGATTCCAATAGGGATGAAGAAGAGGAAGAGGATATTATTTCATCAATTAATGAAAATACAACTGAAACAAAATCATTACTTGAGGATATAAGGATATCTTCATCCATAGATAATATAATATCAATAAATGAAGTCCCAACTGATCATCCACCAGTAATAGTGACCATTAAAGATGACAAAATTATAACCACCACTACAACAACGATTACCACCACTACAACTAAAAAACATACAAAGCCACAAGGAATGTGCTATGATGGTAGAAGAAATTATATTTTAATGGTTGACGCAGTCGTGGCACTCGTATTTGTGCCAATAGTTTATTTTTCCTATTATATACCAAATTTAAAAATGGACCATAATGAAGAGGTTTATAAATATTGGTATTATAACATACCATTCAGCAAATATGCATTGTGGATGTTTTGTGTAATCGGTGGTTTTGCATATGTTTCAGTAATTACTGAGAAGCGTTCAGTTCCATTTCACTGTCGTTACAAGAGACATCGTGACTTTTTCCAACTTTTATTTGCTGCATCTCTTTGGTTTGCTATAGGAGGACCATCAAGAGCTCTATTTGGTCGTAACGATTATATAGTCGGTTTGGACGATCACATCACTAAAAATACCCAAGATGGCTACTCTGCTGCAGAATCTTTCTTTTACAACTATTTTGCCTTCTTTTTATCTTTTCTTTTAGGTCTACACTTTACTTATTTGGATAGAAATTTATTCCTTCGTTCTATGGGTGATAAATTTGGTACTCCAATGTTATGGAAAACTTTTAAAGCTTCTGAACTCATGGCTTTAATCCCTGTTTTATTGTTTATTTTAGCCATGGCCGCTTTACACATTTATCTAATTGTAAGTAATAACTCTACTACTATACATAATTATAACATCGTGCTAATTAATACTATTATTATCATTTAGATTCAAGACAAATTATGGGAATACTTTGCAATTGCCTATAGTATATTCTTCGCTGTTTTAATTGGAGTATCTTTGGTTTTTAGAAAAACCCATTATTTACATATGCATCATTATTTTATTTTTGGTAGTTTGGTTCCATTGACTGGTTTTCAAACTGTATTATCTTTAATATCTTTAGGTGCTGTTAGTGGTATTGCTGTTGAAGGTGTATCAAGATGGTCCATGTATGTATTATTAAAATCAATATGATCATTATTAAATTTAAAATAGAAAGATATTAATTTAAATTATTTTTTTAAAAACTATAGGGGTTGGTTGTGGTATAGAGGTAGCAGAGTTTTATAAAAATATAATAAGATAATATAAAAAAATAATAATATTAATTTAATATTATTTAAAAAATAAAAGTAAAAATAAAAATGTAAAATTTGTATATTTCTTTTTAAGATATAATAAGAAAAAAAAAGAAATTTTTAAACTTTATTATTATTTACAATTTATTCTATTTAAAATTCTTTAATTTTACAAAAGAACAAAATCATCTAAATTATTACTTGATCTTATATTATTATTATTATTATTAAAAATATTATTATTATTTAATTTCTCTTGATTTATATTATCTATACTATCATTATTATTTAATTGTTTTTGCTTTTCAAATAAAAAGCTGTTATTTAAATCGGTTAAAACCTTTTCCATTTCGATTGGATCTTTTACTTCATAACTGTTATCTTGGCTAGTGATCAAATCAATAACCTGTTCACCATTACTATTAAGCTCTATATTTTTTGATCCATTACTATTGTTTGCTACTTTATTTATATGATTATTGTTTTCGTTATCTACACCTAACTCCTCTAATTCTATTGAATTGAAATAATCTTCAACTTCTTTAACTCTTTCTGGTGAAATTTCGTCTTTATCCAATTCTTCTTTTTCTAAAAATACCCAATTCTTTAATTCCTCATCAACCATTTTTTCATCCTTTCTATCTTTACCTGTAACTGTATTATAAGCTGATGATACTACATATTTAACACCTCTAAATGTTGCACCTGTTGCTTCTCTGACTAAAACCATACATAATGCTAAAATAAAATAAAATGAAATGAAAAAAATTAATTATAAATTTTAATATTTAATTATTATAAATTTTAATAATTAATTATTAAAATAATAATAATAATTTAATAATTAATTATTAAAATTTAAATTATAAATATTTACTTTCTGAAACCTGTACTAAAATATAATATGTTAAAGCAGAAACTATTGGTGCAAGACCACCAGTGGTACCAGCGGTACCCATCACGACAGCTACTGGGGCATAGGATAATGAGGTTCTTAATATACGTACAACAGGAACAGGGATATATCCACCAGAAATAGTACTAACTGTATGGTCAACTATTTTTGGTCCAATTGAAATTGCTGCAAAATTTGCTAACCTTCTAACGCCTATATATTTAAATATAGTATTTGATAAACACTTTATCATAAATCTATTCATTTTCTTTAATCGTTTTTAATTTATTGTTGTATCACAATGATTTTTATTATGCTATTATTATTATTATTATTAATAATTATAAAACTAACTGTATAAATTTTTTTTTTTTTTTTTTTTTTTAATTATTATTATTACAAACTAATATTATTGGAAAAGATATTAATAAATTTATATAATAAAAAACTAATATAATATTTAAAATTATAAAAAACTATATAAAACTATTAATGCTATTGAATTTGTGTGTTGTGTGTTATGTGTATATAAATATATTTTAAAATAAAAATAAATAAAAAATAAATAAAAATTAAATATTTGTTAAAAAAAAAAATTTTAAAAAAAAAATAAATAAAAAATAAATAAAAAATAAATAAAATTTTTTTAAAATTTTTTATTTTAAAAAACTTATATTTCTCAATTTTTTTAAATGAAACTGGTGGTAAGTCTTATATACACTTACCACGGCTACTTAATCCTTTTTATATTAAATATTATTTTTTATAAATTAAAATAGAAATAAGTACAATTTTATATAAAAAATATCTTTTTTTTTTTTTAAAAGATATGGTATATCTAAATATTGAGTATTTAAATAGTATTTTATATTTTAAATAATATTTAGTTAATTATAATTTTAGTAAAATTTAATTTATTTTATTATTATTTTTTTTATTTATTTTTTTTTTTTTTTTTTTTTTTTTTTTAATTTTTTTATAAAAAATCATTTTTTTTTTTTTTTACATTTTATTTAAATTTTAAATTAAAATCAAATAAATAGGAAAAATGAGTAGGGGTACAAATAACAGTAGTGCATTAAATAAAAGAATTAATAAATCATTGTTTGATGAAGAGGATGGACCAGTGCACGTATTACAGGTTGGTGATGAAGATGGTAAAAGTAAATATAAATGGGAAAAAGAACTGGAGAAGTCATGGTTGGATATTAGAGAAGATGAACATGGTTTAAGAGTGTCTGTGGAGAAGGAGCGTAGCAATAGAAATCGTAGATTAAAGAGTACAAATATAGATATTCAAAGGGTACGTCGTGGTATGCAAAGACATTTATGTTTAGTTTTGGATTTATCAAAGACATTGGCGAATCAAGATCTAAAACCATCAAGATATCAAGTATTGATCCAAAATACAGAACAGTTTATTAAAGAATTTTTTGATCAAAACCCAATTTCGCAGCTATCAATCATCATAACCAAGAATAGCAAAGCGGAAAAGATTAGTGAATTAAGTGGCAACCCTCAAAGACATATACAGGCAATGAAAGATGCAATTGCAATGGAAGGAGAGCCCTCAATTCAAAACTCACTGGATGTTGCTATATCATCCTTGTGCTATGTCCCAAAATATGGCAGTAGAGAGGTATTGTTTTTGTTTAGCAGTTTAACAACTTGCGATCCTACAGATCTCGCCAAGACTATCCAAACATTAAAGCAAGAGAATATAAGAGTTTCATTTATACATTTAGCAGCAGAACTTTATATTTGTAGACATATAGCTGAACAAACTAATGGAACATCAAAAGTAATTTTAAACGAAGAACACTTTTTAGAGAATCTATATTCCAAATGCCAACCACCTCCAACTATTGGTAAAGTTGAAGCTGCTTTAGTTGAAATGGGTTTCCCCCAGCAAATTACCTCATCGGTACCCTCAACATGTATTTGTCATGAAAAAATGAAATATTCAGGTTATATTTGTCCAAGGTGTGGAGTTAAATCATGTGAATTACCAACTGATTGTCAAATTTGTAATTTATCTTTAGTATCATCACCACATTTAGCAAGATCTTATCATCATTTATTTCCAATTCCACTATTTGAAGAGGTTAATTGGAAGTAAGTATTTATTTATTTTTTTTATATTTTTTTATTTAAATCAAATACTAATCATATAACTAATATATTTATAGGGAATTAAATACAAATGTTACATGTTATAGTTGTTTAACCTCATCAGAAACGTCAATATTATCATTATTCTTTTCTTGCCCGCGTTGTGATCAAGTTTTTTGTCTTGAATGTGATATGTATATACATGAAGCTTTACACAATTGCCCAGGATGCGAAAATAATTTAAATACGATAAATAATCATAATAATAACAATGGCCATTAAAATAAACATGTTTATATTTTAAGTAATATAATATCGATATAGTAATACCACTATAATTTTTGTTTTTTCAAATAGCAACAAACAGATATTATTTTAATTTATTTTTTTATTTTTACATTTTTTTTTTAATTTTTTCAAAATAATTTCTGAATTTTTTTTATTGTTTAAAAATGCTTTATATTCAAACAATCATACAACATAAAAAATTCGATGGAGTTAAATAATAATATTAATAATAGTGATATAATTAGTACAGATAATATCAATACTATATTATTTTTTAAAATATGGAGAAATCATTTAATTAGAGATATAATATTCGATTTTAATAAAATATCCAATGCAATATATTTTTATCCACGATATTTTAATAGCTTTAAAGATTTTAACAACTCCAATGAAAGAGACCAAATTAGATCAGTAGTATTCGTAACACTAGTTTTAATCAAGACGAATTTAATAAATTTCTAAAAGAATTACCAAGAAGTATTACACATTTAGAATTTTACGATGAAAAAGCAAGTTTAAATTTAGATAAATTAAATATACCAGAAACTATCAAGCATCTAAAGTTTGGCAGTTCTATAAAATTGTCAGGTGAATTTGGTAAAGAATCTTCATCATCTTCATCATCATCTTCATCATCATCATCATCATCTTCATCATCATCATCATCATCAATTCTCAGCTCCTTTAAAAACCTTATAAATAATAATAAAAATCAACATAGAACCCAAAATAATTTAACATTTGAAAAAGAAGATATAAAACCATTTAATAATTTAAAATCATTAAAATTAGAAAACACTTTTTTATTAAAGAACCCAAATTATTTCCCAAAACAATTAAAACATTTATCTTTACAATTTGGCAAGGGAGAAATCACCAAAGATTTTAAAATTTCTAAAGGGATGATACCAGAAAACTTAGAATCTTTAACGATAAATATGGAATACAACAGCCCAACAATTTATATACCACCAACTGTAAAGAAGTTTCAAGTTGAACTAGGATACTTTTTTTTTAATTCAGAAATATTAAAATTTTTACCCCCAAGCATTACAATATTAAATATTATAAGAACCCCAAAACAGAATTTAGAACCATTCAAAAAAAATGTTGCAGAGTCATTGAGGAAATTGGTAGTGGTTCAAGATTTTAATCATTATCCTGCCTATCTAAATAGTGATTTAAAGTCATTGACGACCTTGGATTTAAGATACTGTACAAATTATTGTAATGGATTTAATATTAGCAAGTTTCCCAAAACATTGACAAATTTAAAGCTACCAAATCGATTGATATTGGATGACTCTAATTCTGCAGGCTTCCCACCATCTCTTACAAGACTTTTTGGTTCACCGTCACATTTTTCCCTAAAGTTTCAAGACAATTCAAAACTAATAAATGCAACAGTTACCTCAAATTCAGATCATGTTGACTTCACCAATTTTTATAAAAAATTTACAAATATTCAGTCATTAACCCTATTCCAATTAAATTTCCCAAACAACACATACATATCAACTCTTCAAATTCTTTCAGAAACTTTAACTAATCTTGAAATAATAGATTGCTCATTCAATAGTGACGAATTAAAAACATTATACTTTCTAAAATCACTTAAATCCCTTAGAATCAATGGTTTAACCACTGGCTCTATTTTAAAAGATTTTAAAGATATCTCACCATTTCCAGACTCATTAATAATATTAGATTTAGAGTATACCAACCGAGAATTAAAGATGAAAACCGAAGAAATTAGAATATTAGATAGCAAAGGTCAAGTTAGAATAGCTCCTTACATTCCATTGGTTTTATCAAATGAAATACTACCCCCATTACTCAAAGTACTAATCCTAAGAGGTGATATTAGACCCAATATCAAGCTTCCATTTAACAGCAATAGCCTCGATCACATATTTCTTCATTGTGCACTCCCATTACAGGGTGAATTCGCATCAGATCCATCATCCCATCACTTAATTAGACACTTTAATAACACAGCCGATGAGCATCCATACAATCATGTTATTTCGAAAATTTATAATAATTTAAGAAAAATTATAATAAAACAATAAAATTTATAAAAAAAAAAAAAATAATAGTTTTATAGTATATAGATTTTTAATTATTCATTTATTTATTTAGTTAGCTTCTGTTTGTGTAGTTACACCCCAGAAGTTGATCATTTGTAAGAAAGTAAGTTTAGAATAAGTCCATTGGGCGCCATTAAATTTATTTACGCTGTATTGTTGGTATTGATTGCCTGAATAAACTTTGGTATTTGAATAGATTTGTTTGAATGATTGACCGATACCATTTGCTTGTGCAACAGTCCATGGGATATTTTGATACCAAGCTCTGTTGTAGAGTTGTTTGTTTGGAGCATATAATTGGAATACTTCTGGTCTACCGTTGAGATCGATGTTCATATAGAATGCGGAAAAGTCAGAGAGATATACTAAATTGTATGGTAAACTGGTTGGTTTGTAATTGCTATTAACATTACCAATGGTATAGATATTTGAGCCAGTAAATACACCATTAACACTATAGGTGTTAACAACATAGTTGGTAGTGTTGGTCATAATAACAACGAAAACACCATTTCTAGAGTCATAGGCGGCTGAGGCAAAGTTGTAGTTTTGGATGGTATCGTAGATGGTGTAAAGACCAGTTTGTGAATTGATTTTAGTAATAATGAAGCTATTGGTAGCAGATGTGCTTTGAGTGGCCATGACAAGGAATAAATCATTTGTATTAGAAGTTTGTGATGATTCTAATGAAAGAACAGCAAATTTACTTGGATCAAAACGAATATTTGTTGGGGTACCAGTAAAAGTATCGACATTTAAACCATATAAATAATTATAGCCATCAGTCTTTTTTTTAATTAAAAATAATAGTTAAAAAATAGAAATGAAAAGAAAATAAAAAAAATTAGTATACTAATTATATTATTTATGATTTGCTTTATTATACATACTAATGATCTAACAAAGAATGAGACTTCTCTAGTTACTTCATTAAAAGTTGAATATTGGTTAGAAGTGTTAAAATGTTGGTATCCTGCTAATTGGTATCTAGTAGTTGGTTGGTAGCTAGCTAAATCGAATAAACCAGCACCGGCAGTATTGGCATCAATATTCCAAATACCATATACTACACCAGCATTGGCAGTATATACTAATGAACTAACAATTAAAGCTAATAATAATAAAAATTTCATATTGTTTTGGTTTGAATAAAATCAAAAATAATAATAAAAAACCCTATTAAATAATAAAAAAAAAAACAAAAAATTTTTAAATACTATAAAAAAAAAAAAAAAATTTAAAAAAAATAAAAAAGTGATGTGTAATTTTTCTTGGTTTCATTCAAATAGATATTAAAAAAATCATTCAAAAAAAAAACAAAAAACCCAATTTTTAAAAAAAATAAAAAAACCGAACACAAATGATGAAAAAGCTATTTTAAAAATATCTTATTTTTTTGAAAAAATCAAAAAATTAATCAAAATTTTTTTTTTTTGCGAGCCAAAAAAAAAAAAGTGCCTATTTTTTTTAAAATAAATAAATAGGGTTGGATTATCAAAAAAAAAAGATAAAATAAAGGTTGAATATTACATCATAAATATTTCACAAAAATAGGTTTTGAATTTAATTTTTTTTTTTTTGTTTTTTTTTTTTGTATTTTTTTTAGAGCCGGGGATAATTTTTGTTCAGTTTTGTTAAAATTAAAAATATAATTAAATTACAAAATATTTATTGTTTTAGGTACACTATAAAATTTACCTTTAACCATTTTTTAAAAATATCTTTTATATCTAGATTTCATTTCGCACAACTACACCATATTAAAGAAAAAAATAATTTTTTTAATCACTTATACAATTTTAATTAAATAAATTTTTTTTTAATTTTTTTTTATTTTATTTTTAATTGATTTTTTTAAAATTACAGAGTTTAAATATTGGAAACTTGCATACCACCTTCTTTTCACTTTTTTAGTTTTAGATTCTTGTTAAAATTGACATTTGAATTTAAATATTTTAAAACATAGAAATTATTTTTTAATTTGGTTAATTCTTCGATAAAACTCTTTTCCAACTTTAATTCTTGGGTGTGGGGAAAGTATTTTATAATCAATCTATGAATTGAAATTTTTCCATTCAATATCGATCCTCTCGATAATGATTCTGGTGAATATTCAGTTTGGCTGTTGAATTCATTGATATGATTTTGAAATATATATTCTAAAATGTCAAAATTATTGTTATTTATTGCTAATTTTATTATGTGTTTTATGACTTGGTTATAGTTGTTTTCTTTAAATAGCAAATTTTTTAAAAGATGGTTTAATAGATCTAATCTATTATATTCGATAATTGAGTTTATTATTTTTGAAATATTTATTGATTTTGAAAAAAAAATTTTATAAATTCTTGAAAAATTATTTATATTATAGTTTTTTATGCATGTCACTAAAATGAAATCTGATCGGTTTAAATTTTCAAAATTAGAAACATCATCACTACCTATATTATCTAAATACCCATATTCTAACTTTTTTATGATGCTGAGACTTTTTATATAATCATTATAGGATTCCAGTTGAACTTTTTCATAATAATGGTATCCACATATGTTATCTTCCCAATCCAGTTGCTCATAAAAATATATAAATATTTTTATATAGTTGTTATAAATAGTGATTTTTTGCATAAATTGTTTGATCAGTAAAACTTGATCATGGCTATATTTATCTATTATTATCCAAAATGATTTCACGATTTCTAATAGATAAATTTCTTGAATTTTTTCTTTCATAAGCAATTCAATCCATTTCAATTGGAATTTTAAACTTATTTGTTTTAATAGATGATTTTTATATAGATATCCGATGACTTCGAAGTTATTATTTTTATAGTTATCGTTATTTAGTGTTGCAATATTATTTTGATGGTTATTGCATTGATCCTTATTTAAATTATTTATTTTAGAAATTATTTCCATTAAAAGTTTGATACTATTATTGGCTATACCATTATTGAATAAAATGGTTTCTATTATTGATATACTTTGATTATTTGAGCTATCTATGTTATTAGTTTTTATTTTTTGGATATTATTTTTAATTATTTCTATAAAGTCATCTGAATATATAGTTTTGAATATTTTGATTAGATCTATCGAGTAGTAGAGTTCTACAAGATTTAGTTCTTTTATATTTAAAAAAAAGTCTGATATATTTTGTTCTGAATCTTCAATGTGTATTGGCTTGTAATGAAAGTGGTTTATATCTAATTCAATTAGGGTAAATTTTGTTTGGGGTTTGAATTTTGCATATAGTTTAATTCCATCTAAATTAAAATTTAATAGCGAAAGATATAATAGTTGCTCTAGGCTAATTAAATTTGATTTTATATATGGCTCGATGATCTCTAGATTGTTTTGATGGAAATAATAGTCAATAATATAAGGTTTGAGTAGCTCCGAGTGGTCTTTTAGTAGCTCTTCCATGGTTACATTTTGGTTATTAAATTTCTTTATAAGATGGTTATAGGTTTTTTTATCTTGATAGTTTTTCAACAAAATCTTGCACTTTATTTCATCTACAGTGGCTCTATTTACAAAAACAACAGGTTGGAACAGCTCGGAATTTAATCCATTGATTTTTAAGATGGTTTTATTGTTAAGAAATGCAATGAGATAGTCTGGGTTTTTGATTTTTGAAAATATATCCTGATATTCTTTTTTACCAAAATTAAATTTACATGTTACTTGGACTATATCTTCAATTTTTACGTTCATTTTTTTGACAATGAAATCAAAAAATAAGTTTAAATCTTGTTTGTAATATAGATTGAATAAACCTTTCCAGTCAGTGAGCTTTTTAATGTTTTTTGGAACTAAAGGAGCTCTATTTGTAATTAGATATTCGGCAACGACTAAATCATAATTCAACAAAGCGGTTTTCATCATACATGTATTATAACTTTGCTTATCCATTTGCAACTTGTTGTAAGCTTTTTTATTATCTTGTAATCCATTTTGATTCTTCAACTCTTCCTCTTCTAGTTGGTCGTAATATTTTAAAAAAATATCCAGAGCAAAAACCGAGCCCATGCTAATTGATTTTCCTACCAGATCTACCGATTCGAGATGGTCTCTTTTCTTTTCGAGCAGTAATTTGAAAACTTCATGTTCTTTGCAAGACCCTATTAACTCTATGATCGAGTCGTTGTCTATTGAAACGGTTTGATTTGATTTTAGTTTATCGACTATCATGTTATAATGCTTGTTCTTGAGCATGTCTTTTAAAGATATGATATCATTGTATGGTTTTCTATTAGTTAAATAAAAAACATTTTGTGTTTTAATTAAACCTAATATTAAATTTCTTAGGTAAATATTTTTAAAAACTTTAAAAAATAATTCATCCATTTGTAAAAAAAAAAAAAATTTTATTTGTTTAAAAAAAAATATATTATTTACAAAGTGTAATTTATTAAATGAAAAATATATAAAATTATAAAATAAGTAACAATATGTATTATTATAAAGATTTATGATAATATAAAACTATTATTTAAATATATCTATACAAAAATATTATTTCTATAAAGAGAAAATAATTATTTTCATAAATGAACAAAATATAATTTGAAAAAAAAAATAATTACAAAATCATAAATAATTATATTACATTAGACAAATTAATTTTTTAAATATTGAACTCACACAAAAAACACACATTACCATCCCCCTCCCCCCCTATTTGTAGTTTAAAAAAAAAAAAAAAAAAAAAAAAAAAACACTTAATGAAGATACCTTTGATAAAAATTAAAAAAAACATTTCTATTAATATATATAATCATTTAAGTAATATTTCCTTAATTGGGTAATATTGTTAACAAAACAAGGATAAAATCATTATCAGTTAAAAAAATTCCCACGCAAACACACTATATTTTTTTACCTTAAAAATCAAATTAATATTAATATTTATTTTTATTTATAATTAATAATTAATAATTAATAATTAATAATTAATAATTAATATTAGAATATGTATATATTATTTATTAATTTTGATTTTTTAATATTATATTTGATTTTATTTATTTATTTATTTTGATAAGTAGTTTTTAAAAAAAAAATAGCCCCTTTTATTGTTTATGAATGCAGAGCTACTTTTTTTTAAATTTGAATTCTTTAATTTTAAATCTAGATTGAACTTTTTTGATTCTGATAATAAATATTTGAAAATATTAAAAGAGCCGAATTGAGCCAACTCTAATACAAGATTATTGTTGATTTTAAATTGATTTGGTAAATAGGTTAACAATAGCTTGAATAATATTAATTCACCATTTCTTTTTGATCTGTAAAATAAAACTTCTGATGTGAATTCTTTTTCTTGAGAAAGCTCCACATAGATATTGTTTTTTAAAAGATATTCTATTATGTCGTATCTGAAAAAATGAATTGAATATTCTAAAATTAACCCTGCCCTCTGATAACCAAATAACTCCAATGCAATATCAAATCTATCATTCTTTAAAAGATCCTGAATAAGAGTGCTTTTTTCAATTAAACTACACTCACACAAAACCTTGAATATTAGTCGTATATTTATATTGTTCGAGTTTTCTAGAAAATAGAGGTAGTCATCTTTTTTATTAAAAAATGCAAAAATTTGATCCTTTTGCAATTTTGATATATAGTTTTGATTAATCAATCCTTTTCTAACTCTGGTGTAGTGTTTTAGTGATTTTAAATAATTTATTTGAAGGTCTTTATAAAATAATTGATAATTGATATCATTGTTATTACCATTATCTATATTATTTTGAAAAAATGTTTGATAAAAATATTTGAAAATTTGAATATAAGACCCATTGCAACATATATATTTTAAAAAATCTTTAAATTTAATTTTTAAATTTGAAATTTGTTGAATGCTAAATTGATTTATAAACGATTTTAAAATTTCTAATAAAACTTCACCAGGAATATTAAAGTCAAAAATCAGGTTTTTTAACCACCCAATTTGTATGTCGAAATTAATGTTTTTAAGCAACTGATTGGAATAAAGGTAACTAAAAATTTTAAAGCAATTTTCTTTGTATATTTTGAATTTTGAAAAATCATCTATTGGTTGGTCTGTTGATGGGTCATTCTCTATTAAATTCTCTATATCTTTTAATACTTGTTTTTTAAGTTCTGGATCTGAATTGTTGATCCTTGAAATAACGTTAACTAGTAATTTTGTATTTATAACCTTGGGTTGCATATAAAAGAAAATGGAACTTATTAATTTATCTTTATACCGTTCCTTCCCATAGTTTGTAAATGTAAATAAATCGTAACCTTTGCTTTTGTTGTTATTTTCTTCATTAATATCTACTTCTGAGTTAAATTCATAAAACTCTGCCATTATCGAAAGCTCCTTGGGATACAACGGAAAAAACCTTGATGCTACCAATTCTCGCTTAAATTGACGTTTCTTAGAAAGTCTGATGGTTTCAAAAAACTCAATGATAATATCTTCAGAGTCGACTTGTTTAATATATTTAAAAATATCAACCATCGAGTTTTTATAAAAGAAATAATAATCTTCAAATTCCATACACAATTTGATACATTCTGAGTTAAAATTGAAATTGGAAAGTAATATTAATTGAGAAAATTCCTCATTTGATGTGATAAGCGGTTTTATTTTGTCATACTGCTTTTGATAAAAGTAATAATCAATTGCAAATGGCTTCAAAATGGTGCTGTACCTGATAAAAAGCTCTTCAATCGTTAAATTTAGTTGATCAAACTGTTGGATTTGCTGGTTGAAATTCTTTTTGGTTTTGCCATAATACTGAAGAAAAAGTGTAATATATATTGTACAGTTTAAATCTTCAATGCTGTATGGCTGTACAAAGTAAACAGGCTTGAATATTTTGTTGTAGCTTGAAAACATTGAAAAATCCTCATGTGGGTTCATATTATTTAAAAATGCTAATAAATAGTTCTTTTTATTGATTTTGCAAATTATGTCAGTTTCTACTTGACCAATTCTGGTATGCTTGTAAATTTCTTTCACACTCAATTCTATATTAAATTTTAATTTTTCGAATATAAACTCTAAAAATAAATTGAAATTGCTTTTTGAAAAACCAGATTTGAATATATGCTCCCATCCTTCGATTTGCTTATTACTATTTTCATTATTAAAAAATACAAATTCGTTTTGATACCTGTTCAGAAAAAACTCTACTATTTCATAATGCTCTATTTCGATTGCATAGGTTATTAAATGTTTAAGGTAGTTGAACTGATTTTTTTTAATTTTTTTTTGTTTATCGATTTTGGTTTTTTGGTATTGGTCTTCTTTTTTGAAAATTTCATCATAAACTTTTGTAAAGGACTCGATTGCAAAAGCAGATCCATACCTTATTGATTCTTCTAATAAATCCCTTGATATCGATTCTAAATAATCTCTTTTCTTTTCAATTAATAATTTAAAAACTTTAAACTCTTTGCATTCAGTAATTAGTAATATTACTGATTCATAGTCAATAATAATTTCTTGATTTGACTCTAATTTATCAACTAATAAACCATATTCCCTTTGTTTTATCATCCATTTTAGTGATTTAATTTCTGTGAATGGTCTTTTATTTCCAAGGTATAGGTAGTTTTGATTTTGTATTAAACTTAAAATTAAATTTCTAAGATAACTATTTCTAAAGACTTTAAAAAATAGTTGATCCATTATTCTATTATTCTATTATTTGATTATTTATTACTAATGGTTTTTGATGGGTGGAAATGGTTTTTATTTTTTTTAAAAATAAAATTAAAAAAAAATTTTAAAAAAAATTTTAAAAAAATAAAATTATTTGAAATTATATTAATAAAGATTAAAATAAATTATAATTAAATTTTAATGATTAAAATAAACATTAATCAGATATTTTTAAACAAAAGTGAACAAATAAATTATAAAACTAAAATCTGATTTTTTTTTTTTGTATTTTAATAAATTATTAATATTTTTTTATATATTATAATATTAACATATTATATATTTTTATTAAATAAATAAATAATTAAAATTTAATCTAAAATTTTAATGTTTTCTTTCTTTTTTTTTTTTTTTTTTTTGATGTTTTTTTTTATAAAAATTGGGAAATATAGTAATTTAATAATGATTCTCTTGTTCTTGTAATTTTTGAAGCAAAAACTGGAGCTTGTAAACTTGCTAATTCGCCATTAATTAATTTTGTTAATAAGAAATCTTTAATATCTGATTTTTTAATGATTCCACTTGGAGTGACTGGTTCGAATGGAGTTTTAACACCATCTTTACAGGACATTGATACTTTATAACCATTATTTTGTTTATCATATTGAACCAAAATAACTACATGGTTAAATTGAGATGTAATTGTGTTTGGAGCATATGATAGACTACCATCATTGAAAATGACCACACAAATATCATTACCAACTTGTCTCTTTCTTTCGATTTGTTGTGGATCATTTGGTGAGAATGGAAGCATAGTTGATACATGGAACATTACTTCATTACCGTGATAATCTGTATAGAGTGAGTGGGTACCTGTTGAATTAAATTTGACATCTAAACCTGCAGAATAGTGTGGCCAACCAATTAATTCAATTTTATCACCTATTAAACCAAGGAATTCATCCCAATCTGGTGAACCAGCCTTATTTGAGAAAATTTCATCGTCTGTGACTTGACCGTGACGACAATATACCAAACCAAATTTGAAACCGCTAGTAGTTTGACGCTCTTCAAATGAGAGCAATTCTTTTTGTAAATCATTTTGATTTGATGCTAAATTTAAAAGTTTTGGATCAATAGTTGGATCGATAATATTGATGAGATGTGATACAACCTTTTTGGTTTTGATTTTCTTTGACATTGGTAAAAGGGTAAATATAATGTTTTTAGACTCTTCACTAATAGCTTTGGCACCAAATTTAGTATGGAGAACACCACGATAATTATCATTAGAGTCTTTGGCTAAACTGAATGCAATTGGGCCGATCTTATTGTCAACACCTAAAAAACTTTGAACAATTGATGAGCCATCGAAATTATACTTTCTGTAGAAGCCATGCTCTTGTTTATCAAATTTAGGTTTCCAATTTACTGATGAGAATGAGTTTGTTGTTGGTGATTCAATATTCCATCCAATGCAACTGCTAATCAATTGACGACGATTTAAAGATGGATTAACTGATTGCCATGTACTATTTGCTTTCTTTTCACTGATTGGCGATGAATTAACTGATGATGCAGATGATGATAGGTTTGGTGATGATGATGCCAATGGATGGCTGTAATGACCATTAATATGATTATTGGCTTGGTTTGGTAAATCCCCACTTCCGTTTAAAATTGGAGTTGTTGAAGCTGAAACACTTAATGGTGATTTGATTGATGGAGAGCTAGCAATACCATTGCCATTTGGTGAGGTGCATAATGATGATTCACTCTTTGAAAGTTCTATAGTTGGCATGTATTGACTACTTGAATAAAGTTTATTATTCATCGATGATGAATGTAAACCTTGGTATTTATCAGGATAAAGTTTTTCCTTAACTCTTCTATCTTTACGATGATGGAAAATACCAAGTTTAACAATGCCACATATTTTTAATTCCAATTCTACAATGGTGTTACTGAACACAAATTTGAGAAACTCGACTTCTAATAAGTTATCTTCATCTATACCTAAACGATACTCTGAAGCATTTAAGTTTTGTAAAGCGGGAATACTCTTGAATGCAAATGCCTTTACTTGATCTACCAAAACAGAGTCATTAAAAACAAAAGTAAATACCTCTTGGTCTTTTTGATCAGACACTATAAAAATTTCCAATTTAAAAGTCTTTAATAAGGAAACTACGCTTCTTCTCATCATTTCATTCTTGAGTGACTCTGGCATCATCATTTTACAATCGTCATCACCCTCATCGCTAGAGTCCATAGACTCGTTTATTAAACCATTATTTGTGGATGATGTTAAAACTGGTGATAACTCAACTGCTCCGGTAGATGTGCTTACTTGAACACCACCATTTGGACCCAACATTGTTAATTTTCTTGGTAAAATTTGAGAACCATACTCAAAATCTTCCTTTTTATTTGAATCTGATAATGGTGACTTTGCTGCACTTGATTTTATTGGTGGTGAATCACTAAATCTTACAGATGGTTTTGTACCAGCACTAAAAGTTTCACTATGAGAACGACTATGAACTTGCGAGGAAGATGACGATGGAACTGTTGAGAATCTCCAAGGTTTGGCATTTTTAAATGAAAAAGTGAAGCCAGTATCTTTATTTGGTGGTGGGGAGGATGGACCATTGGACTGAGATGGTGGAGAAACTGAACCGTTACTAATTGAGGTACTTCTGACACTTAATGATTGGGTAAACTTTGCTACGGTTTGATTTATTGAAGAAACCCAATCAGATTTCTCTTTGTTTGAATCAAATGAAAGATAATAGGTCTTTTGATCAGTTGAAATAAGTATACAGTTTGGTTGGCTACTAAATTTATATGTCTCTTGAACACCCAAAACATTAGAGAATTCGATAACACCCTTCAATTGGAATTGATCTAAATCCATTTTGTTAAATTCTGTCGTTTGATTAATGGCGGGTATTCTTTTTTTGATGGCTTTAACCCAAAGATTTAATTCGTCCTTTGTATTAGTCTTAAAATAATATCTATTATTACAATGTACAACTACAAATTTATTTGATACATCTTTATTAATTTCACAATCTTGGCATTCATTCAAATTGATTATACCTAATGGTTCACGGTCTTTGCTCGACTTGTAATAAAGTAAACTGTGGTCTAAAAGTTTCATCCATCTAACTTTCCATCCTTTTCCTTCTTTTTTTTTACCTAATTCTCCTTCTAAATTGACATGTGAAATTGAATCTTGTAAACTATTATTACTATTTTCATTACTATTATTATTATTACTATTTACACTATTTATACTATTATTTTCATTATTATTTACAGCACTATTACCACTAATAGTTGGTGTTCTTTTCTTTAAATTCTTTTCTTTTATATAATATTGTAATTCGTTTTCTTTTAATATAAACCACATTCTTTTCCAGGAACCTAAATTTTTACCACACCTTTTTTCTATCCAACCATATTTCTTTGCATTTGAATATTGTTTATCATCCACACAACTCTTTAATTTTAATGATACTTTTTTCATTTGACCATTTATACCTAATAAACATTCAGACTGTTGTTGTTGTTGTTGTTGTTGTTCAGTTTGTGTATTTATTATTATAGGTTGTATATATTGTTGTTGTTCGATTGGTTGATTTATTATAATAGGTTGTTTTTTTTTGTTTTTAAAAAATATAAAATATTTTTTTTCATTTTTTTTTTCGACATTTATTTCATTTTTTGGTTGTTTTTTTTTTGATTTTTTTAAAATTTTAATTTTGATTAATTTAATTTTTTTAATTTTTTAAATTATATATTAAATAATAATATAATTAATTATATTATTATTATTATTATTATTATTGAATTTAAAAAAAAAAAGAAAAGAATTGTATAAAATATTATTATTTAATAGTTATTATAATAAAATAAAATTGATAAAATAAATATTTTTGGTTTTGTTTGGTTTTGTTTGGTTATGATTTATTATTATTTTTTTTTTGATTATTGATTGTTTAGTGGGTGTATGAGTATTTTTATGAGATTATGTATGATAAATAAATTATTAATAAATAAATAAATAAATAAATAAATAGATAAATAAATAAATAAATAAAAATAAATAAATAAATAATATATATAAAAGAAAGGAAAAAAAGAAAGAGAAAAAAAAAAAAAGAAAAATAATTAATATAATGTTTTTTTTTTTATAATAAAAAAGATAAGGTATAATTATAATAATTTTAAAAAAAATTTAAAAAAAAAAATATTATTTTTGCTTATTGTAGATATTTTTTTTTTTTTTATAAGAGCTATCAAGTGATTTTTTTATGATACATATGTTATTTTTCACTTTTTTTTTTTGTTTTTGATTTTGATTGTTTTAATATGATTTTAAACTAATATTTTATTATGTATGGTAAATTATTTTATATTATATGGAAATAAAAAAACCATTACTTACATATTCAGTTGTATTCATTTTTGGTAATGATTGTAAATAATTAAATAAATTTGATATTTCTTCTAGTCTGGAGGAAGTTGAAGACAATACTTTTGTATCTTTGTTTTTGTCCAAATTTTTATCTAAATAATCCAACTCGCCTATAGTATATTCAATTATCTTCCATATAACACTTGGCTGACCTTTAAATATTAAAAAAAATTTAATAATATAGTATTTAAAATTATAATTAATAATTAATATTAATTTTAAAATTATTTATTAAAAATAATAAAAATAATAAAAAAATAAATAAAAAACAAAACAAAAACCAATAATATAAGATTATATGTATAATTATTATTTTAAATAAATTAATTTAATATAAAAATATTTTAAAATAATTATTTATTATTTTATATGATGTAAGTAGCGGGTGGTCTGATTATATAATATTAAAATATTGATGATATAGTATATGTTGTATGTAAGAAGATATTGATTTATTTTGTGGATGTTAATAATAGTAATAAGTGATTAGGACTGTTAAATGAATAATAGTTTAAAAATATTAACAAGAAAAAATAATAATGATTAACCTTAATAAAAAAATAAAAAAACAAAAGAGAAAAAAACTTTATTATTTATTGATAAAAAATAATTAACAAATGAACAAATAAATAAAATTTAAATTTAAATTATAAATTTTAATTTTAATTTTTAGATATAAATATATTTTTGGAGTGTATTTGTGTTGTGTTAAAATATTGTATATTTATAAATCAAATAAAAGTTTAATATAAATACTAATTTCCTTTATATGT